ATAGCCTCACCCGACTGAGCTGGCCTGTTCAGCGCCAGGCTGGTGAAATGAGGTTCCCGAGTCAACTGTCTTGCTTCTCTGTTCTGGTCACAGTGCCTCTAGCAGGTCCAGGTGTCCAGGGGCTGGATGGAGACTGCTGCTCACACCCCAACATTCACTTCCTTAAACAACTGGCTTTGGGGACGTAGCTGCCTTTGGGACTTTGCCTTGGCGTTCCCAAATCCACCATAAGCCGTGCTATTGTCTCCAGATTCCTCCCCAGGCGGTGGACACACAGCTTCTGACATCCCAGCCCAGACAGGCAATGAAAATGGCATCACTACTGCCTCCTGGTGGCCAGTGACTATAAAACACCACAGACGTGAGGCACCTCCTGAGTCCAGAGCTGTCCAAGTGTCTCAAAAGTGCCCCTGTGGCGCAGTGGTTGAGCTGGGTTGCGAAGCTGCCCGCAGCCTCTGCAGCACCAGTTCGATCCCCGGCTGCTCCCCGGCCACTGGAGGAGGGTCCCACATGGCGCGCAGACCTCTCCTGCCGCCCGCTGCTCCCCTCAGCAGTGTACTTCGGTCCTTCTGCCTGCTCTGCTCCCCGCTCTGGCTCTGGTGAATTCTCACCCTCCTGCGCTTCTGACTGTACCCAGTGCTTGTATAAATCAATCAATCTATCAATCAATCAATAAATAAATCTTAAAAAAAAATAAAATACAACATAGTTGTTTATCCTGTTAAATAGTTTCTGATTTTTGATGGTTTAATTGGGCATTTCTCAGAATGTGGTGCCCATGTCACTGGTATTATGTGAGATGGTTCTTAGATACGTTGTGAGCTGACAGAGGCCAGTTTGGCCATTCGCCTTTGTTAAATCTGTGGGAAGTCCCGGGAGATGTGAGCTCTATGCTTTCTTCCCCACAGCCTTGGCCCCCGTGCAGGGGGCCAGCCCGGGACCACCCCTGCCAGGCTTCTTCATCAGCAAGTAGGCACAGAAACAGCCACTTAAGCTGTTCGTGCAAGAAGAGTCTAGCCCCCACGCTGTGTCCTTTCAAACATTCCAACAAGCACCTTCCGTGAAAGATTTACTCCAGATGGGACCCCGTGCAGGCGGTGGGACCCGCGAGCCTCACGGGTCCAGGCAGCAGCATCTTTCACTGAGAGGAGTGAAGAAGCAAGTGAAATTCTATCCTGAGCTGCTGCTCGGTACATCGTTAAGGAGCAGAAGACTTTATTAAGTGATTCATGAGATGTTTTGAGCCGGGCACATCCAGCAAAGGCGCACGCAAAATGGACAGGAGGAGGGACAAATTATTACCAAAGGAAAATATTACTTAGGGTTAAGCCTCCTCCCCTCAGGGGCAGGCAGGGGGCTCGTGATGTGCAGAGACCTCATTGGCCCGGATAGGAAACCCTAGATGGATCGGTTCAGGGTCACACTTCGGGGAGTGGCTGGACCTGAGACAGGTATTAATCGGGTGGGCCCCCTCCCTCCTCGGAGGATTCCTCTTCTCCTCTTGTTAACAGTTTCAAAGAATTTAAAATGAATTACAGCATAACAAGGTAGTACATAGATGACATTTTCTCATTTTAATATTCACTGCATGTTAGAAAAATGTAGCTAGCGGATAAGACCCGTGATTTCCAGCTATTTGCTCAGGATGAGGCCATTTAAGTTGCTTTTTTAAAAAATAAAGTAACTCTCAAATTCTGTTCACAGTGCAGGTGCACTGAGATGCAGCAGAATCTGAGGCGTGCCCGGGGTGGCTGAAGTGGAGAGCTCTGGTTTAACGGAATGTCTTTTCTTTCTGGGGGGAGGAATTCTACCAGTGACTCCTTTCTCACGTGCCCCACCTGTCAGTTGAAGACGCTCTTATTGGGTAGATTGTCTGTGCTGGGGCTCATTTCTTGGTAAGACATCAGTGAAGGAAATGCTGCTCTGTCCGTTTCCTGTCTTCAGGTGCAGAGGAGACGCGCTGAGCCCTGCCCCTGCCGCAGGTAGCTGCCGACGGAGGCCCGAGGAACGCAGACCCCACCGGGTAGACGAGAGCACTGAGTAACACAAGGTTCCCAGCCAAGGTTCCCTGAGATAACAAAACAGGCCAGATGGCCCCAAAAGGAACATAAAAAGCAAAAAAAGGGTTTAAAATTTAGGGGACATGGGGAAAGACTGATAACCCCCCCACCCCAACGGAATGAAGGGGAAGGGACTTGTGCACTGGGGTAGAAACACCAAATGGAACATGCTTTTTTTTTTTTAATAAATTTTATTTTTATATTCCCCATACAATTGCAATCCCCTTATTTTGACCCCAATCCTTCCCCTCCCCACCCCCCACCCCCCATAGAGTGTCTCTGGTTCATAGTTTTTTGTTGATTTTGATATTTTCTTTCTTATAGTTATTCATTTTCCTGGTCCCTTATTTAAGTTTTCTAGATTCCTGCTATGAGTGAGACCATCCGGTATTTTTCTTTTTCTTTCTGGCTTATTTTGCTGAGCATGATCCCTTCCAGCGCCATCCATGTTGCTGCAAATTGCATGTGTTTATCTTTTTTTGAAGGCTGAGTAATATTCCATGGTGTGTATGTACCACATCTTCTTGATCCAGTCATCTATTTTTGGGCATTTGGGTTGTTTCCAAAGCTTAGCTATTGTAAACAGTGCTGCTATAAACATAGGGGTGCAGGTGTTCTTTGGAATTGATGTTTCTGTGTCCTTTGGGTAAATACCTAGGAGTGGAATTGCTGGATCCTATGGCAGCTCTATGTTTAGTAGGTCAAGAAATCTCCACACAGCTCTCCATAGTGGTTGGACCAGTTTGCACTCCCACCAACAGTGCAGGAGAGTGGAACGTGCTTTTGCTGGCCTGTGTGCCTGCCACCCTGGCGAGGATGCTCGGGGCAACCCTGCTTCTTGCTGCCTGGTCTCTGTGTTCGTCCTTTGTGCTTGGACAGGTGAGTCTCATACCTTCTAAAAGTACAGTTCATGGCCTCCCTAGTGTGCAAGGGGTTAAGTCTTAGCACTATGAAGCTATCCGCAGCCACTGCAGCACGAGTTCGATCCCTGGCCAGGGAGCTACCCACATGGCGCAGCAGACCTCTCCTGTCTCATCCACTGCTCCCCTCAGCAGTGTATTTCAGTGGATCCACCTGTTCTTTTCCCTTCTCTGTCTCTGGTGAATCCTCTCACCCCCTGCACCTCTGGCCTACACCCCAGCTCTTGTATGCATAAATAAATAAAATAAATCTTGAAAAAAATAAAACTACAGTTCATGCCATTAGCCTGTGAACTCTGTATTTCATGTTTTATAGTTTATAAATTTTGAAATGTACTAGCATCTGTCAAAATCAGCCACAGTGGGGTAGCAATTTTAGGATGGTAAGGGATGGCTGCCAGTGGAAAGGGTTTTTGCAAAACCATTTATCCACATGCCACAAGGTCCACGAAGTGCCTGTCCTGCTGGTTCTGGTACTTTCCTTAAGGTGGTGACCTCAGTGGCTAAATATTTCATGGCCTGGGAACTACTGTGTTTGCTCTGTCTTGGAGGAAAGTTGATAGAGGGGTGTGGGGTGCCTGCTGAGCCCCTGCCAGCTCCATTCAGCAGGGAGACATGCGCAAACCCTTTTATTATTTTCCTCAGAACAAAGTTCTGCACCAAACACAATTGCCTACTACATCGACAACATTTGCCAACATGAGGAATTGCTAGACAATGATGGAGTTTTAATGACGGGACGTGGGATGTTTAACAGCAGAACCGCGGGGTGCTGGTTCTTTTTCCCTGTCACAGCCACTCTGTGGTCTGTCTTCTGGGATGGATCAGAAATTTGCTTAAAAAAGAACAGCAAACCGCTAATCCCATCTTCCTCCTTAGCAGCAAAACAGCCTTATAAGGTGATATTGGAGGGTCCTCAGCAACCCAGGAATTTCCCCAGGGAACTCCCGAACAGCAAACACAACCATGGCTGCTTCAGTCGTGACCGCGCTTAGAATGCTCTTTAACCTTCCTCCCAAACAAGCTGGCCAGGCAATTCCATTTGCTGTGTGTGCAGGAATGAATCTGAGTTCCCCTACAGAGATTCACGTTTGAAATCTGCCTTGAAACCAGATGTAATGGGGCCTCCCTGGTGGCCTAGGGGCTAAGTCTCAGCGTTTTCACCCTGGTGGTCTGAGTTTGGATCCCCGGCTGGCCAGGGAGCAACCCACACGGCGCAGCAGACCTCTCCCGTCTCGCCCGCTGCTCCCCTCAGCAGTGCATTTCAGTAGGTCCCCTGTTCTGCTCCCCACTCTGTCTCTAGTGAACCCTCTCACCCCCTGCACCTCTGGCCTGCACCCCAGCTCTTGTATGCATAAGCCCTCCCTGGGGCTTTCCAATCCTGCCTGGGGAGCGGACCCAAGTTTCCTCTTGAGCTCCAAACAACTCCACGTCCCTCCTTCAATGCCACCCTCATTTCACAGACTCAAAACTCTGCACCCAGGGCCCAGGGAGAAAGGGAGTCCCCAGGCCGTGCCCCCTCCCCGGCCAGTCTCCATCCAGGTACTCACTGGGGCGCCTCTGACCAGTGGTGGGAGCTGGTGATGGGAAACGCCTGGAAGTTCAGGGCAGCCGCCTGGACACGGCACAGCTGTGGGGACCCAAGGAGGGAAGCCGGCCCTTGCCCCGGGAGGCAGAGGCTGTGGGCTGGCAGGAAGCGCACCCCTCGCTCTGGCTTCAGCGTCCAAGCCAGGCCCAGCCTTTTCCTATTACCTTTCTAGGCTGAGGCTCCTGGTCTGAGAGATGGAGGCTGGCGGGTGGATGACGGGCGAGGCTCGGGAAGGGCTCAGTTGGCTGGGAAGGAAGCTCGGAGCCCCAGTGCCTCAGCTTGTTGTGTCCTTTCCCCCAGGAACATCCTCCACCTCTCTGGACAGTGCCAGGCAGCCTGCAGGCCCTGCCCCGCCCTGCCCCGCCCTGCATTCCAGACCAGGTCCCGGGCCGTTCTTCACCCACACTCGGTTTCCATGACAACAGGCACAGGTTTATTTGTGACTATTTGACTAGTGCTCCTCTCCCCCACCGGGTTCCACCTCAAAGAGGCGGTGGGCTGTGCTGGTTCTCTCCTGTGGTCTACCCCGGCCACAACACAGCGGAACTCGGTTTTCACCTGTGGAAGGAAGGCAGGAGTGAGTGCAAACTGCCATCCCCCGGGACCTGCCCTGGGGACAGAGGCCGGGGAGGAAGGGTGTGGTTTTGAGGTTCCTCATCAGGTTGGGGGTGGCAACGCCATTAGATTGCAGAATTGTCCTAAGGACCAGAGAAGACAACGGGTCCGGGACGCCAGGAACCCGGGGTGGAGGGAGGCTGCAGGTCGTGGTCACTCTCGGACTCCCAGAGGGAGGTGGGACAAGGCTGGCGGAGCCCAACACGGGGAGGTGGGTGATGGAACCAGGCCTGGGAACTAGCACTGTCTTGGCCGAGAGCCTGCTGGGCCTATGGCCATAAAAATAAACCCAGAGAAGACCACGGGCTCGGCTGGCTTCCGGCTCACCCGCCATCGCCTGCTCCGGGACGGGCCTGCTGTCTCTTGGTGAAAAAGAGAGATTAGCCAGGACCAGGGAGCAGCAAAGCTATAATAGGAGGCTTTGTCTGTAAAGAGAGAAGGAGGTTGAAAGGTCGCCGTCTCCGTCCACATGAGCCTTGATATCATTTATTCCGTCTTCTCATGTCCCTACGCTGTTCCTGCTCCGCGTCCCCCACTCAGGGGAACACCCTTCGGAACTCCTCATGCCTCTTACTTATTGCAGAACGCCTACCTGCCCCGGCCTCAGCTCTCTCATCTGCAAAATGGACAATTCTCCCTTCACAGAGTCATAGTGAGGGTCTCGGAGGGGACCCTCTGAGCCAGGCATAGCAAAATGTTGACCGAAAGGCAACTACGTGTGCACCGTGGAGGTATAGGGGACCCCGTTCCAGACCACGGCAATAGGGGGGCATCATCAGAAAGGCAGCCACATGCATTCGGGGTCTCGCAGTGCATATGCAATTTATGTTCACAGCATACTATATGGTCTGTCAAGTGTGCAATAGCATCCCAATAGCCATGGACATGGCTCCGTTCAGAATTACTTTATTGTGTAAAAATGTTAACCATCCTCTGAGCTATTGGGAAAAGGGTGTTACTAGCCTTGCTTGATGGGGGGCTGTCACCAACCTTCAGTGAATGAAAGTGCAACATCTGCAAAGTGCACAGAGTGAGACCCAGTAAGTCAAGGCGTGCCTGTGCAGCCTCAAGGCGTGCCTGCACAGCCTCAGCCAGAGCCAAAGATTGCTTTCAGTTTCTCTCCTGTGGCTGGGAAGCCCGTCTGCTGCGCTGATGGCCCTGTGTGTCACCAATGGTGACCAGCCTGGCCGGGGGGGATGCTACTCAGCCCGGGGGATTGGCCAGGAGCACACCACCTGAGGGCTGCCTCCCCAGTCCCCACAGTTCTTTCCCTCCTCAGGGGCCATGGCATCATGCCCGTTTAAAGGGAAAGAAATTTTGAAAAATTACTGATTTTTAAAAAACATTCATCACAAAGGTGCCCTGTCTCCCTTTATGGAAGCAGACCACCGTTTAGTCCAATGTGAGAAAACTGAGGCCCAGCGAGGGGAAGGAGCTGAGGCCAGGTCCCCAGCCAGGGAGCTAACCCACATGGCGCAGCGCATCCTCTCGACGCCCGAACCTCTGGCCTATACCCAATTCTTCTATGCAAAAATAAATAAAGAAAATCTTAAAACAAAGAGAGACTGCATTGGTCCCGACCACCATTCTGCCCTGGTTCCTGGCTCAGCCACCCCCCAGGGCCCCAGGGATTCCACTTTGTTCTCAAGCCAAGGGCAACCTGAACAAGAACAGGGCAAAGTGCAGAAAAGAGGGTCCTGGCAAGCAGGGACAGAAGCAGGAGCTGCAGCAGCAACAAAGGAGGCGGCACGGCAGACAGAACCCCAAGAACCTTGAACCTGGGGACGGGTGACCCCAAGGGTGTGTCTGCCTACAGGGCATGTGATGGCAGAGCAGAGAGCACAGCTGTCCTGGGCAATTAGACACCTGGGCTGCCACCTGGGAAACGCCCTGTTTGGGGGAGCGGGTAGGAGCTGCGGGACTGACTGCTGCGCAGATGTGCTGGAGGCTTGTCTGGCAGCCCAGATGCAGCTCTGGGGAGCAAGGACCTCACTTCAGCCACATCTGGGTGCCACCAGGGGGCAGCACTTCAGGTAGGCGCCAGATTGGGGTCAAATCTCCCCTCTACCTTTTATTGGCTGTGTGTCCTTGGGCAACTTGCTTAACTTCTCTGAGCCTGTGTGGAGTGGGGACCAGAACAGGGCCCACAGAGTCATAGGAAAAGTAAATGACATCAATCTTCCAGAGTCAGTGACCCAGGGCAAGATTCAAAGGGCAAGTTCTGCAGCTACTTGGGGAGGGGGGTCAGGCAGAGCTGGGGTGTCTGTGGAACCCCCGGAGCCAGGGTGGCTGGAGCAGAGCGGGCATGAAGGGAGAAGAAGGTGGGATCATAGAATGTGTGTGTGGGGAGTCAGTTTTGTTTAATTTCCTTGTAGTTACATTATTCGGGCTTAGCTTCTTTTTTCGTGGGAAGATAACAGATTTCCTGCTGGTCATGGACGCAGAGCACTCCCCTCAGATAATACGAGGAAAAAAGCCCTTTTAGGAAATGTAAAGGGAATGTCGGACTGTCCACAAATGAACCAAATTTGTGAAGACTGGCCCGGGATGACTACAGTTCAGGAAGCAAGGAAAGTGGGCTCTCTGCCTCCCGCCACCTACTGAGCACAGGTAGATATGGATTGGGGGGCGCTGAGGCCCCACTGGCCACCCAGATGTCCCTATCTGCACCTCCATCCCCCTCACATTCCAGAGCTTGCCAGTGGGGAGGCCCTGGCCGCTCACCCACCCGCCTTCATCTACAGACGAGACAGGATGGCTCAGAGGCGAGAGATGGTCATAGCGTCAGCTGTGCCCCCCACAACCCAGGGATTTAGGTGCACAAGGTCACCCAGAGACCTCTGACTGGTTGGGGCTAGGGAGGGCCAGCCTCCCAGGGTCCTGGGAACCCCTTCCCTGGCTCCCCTCCCAGCCTTTGGAGAGGCTCTTCCACCATTGGTTGGAGAGAGCAGGCCAGGAGGGGAGAGGGATGCAGTGAGTGGGGGTGCTGTGGGGTCCGCCTGGTTGTGCTCTGGCCCACTGAGGCAGCGCTGGTCAAGCAAGAATGCTCCAGGATGCCCCAGGCGCCATGGACGCTTTACAGGGCCATCACAGGCATGTTACCGGGGTGTCACAGGGGCACTATGAGGGCAGTAGGAGGTATTGGGGGGTGCCATGGGGAGTTACAGGGGTGTCAGGAGGACATTATGGGGTGGCCCTGGATGTCCCTCCTCTGCCTGAGAGGGTAGGGATCCCTCTTACCTCAGCTACCTCACCCCTGGAATCCGCTCCTCTGTGACTCCAAGCCCAGTGCTCTTCTCACACCACGGTCACAGGGAGAAGGGCCCGCGGGTGGATTCTGGCAGGGCGGGAGCCGGCTCCTTACCTCCGCTTGCTCTCATTTCGCCTCCGTCCCGGGGTGGGCACAGTCACTGCCTTCTGAAACGATGGCGCTGCTCGTAGGCGGGCTCAGCGGATCCAAGGGTGTGGTGCCAAGGCACAGGACCTCCTTCTGCAACAGGGGGCACCGGCTGCTCACGCGTGCACGGGCCGGCGTCTCTTCACAAAGCGCTTCCCCACTAGCTCACCTGAATCAAGGGCCCCAGGATGAGGGGGAGCCCGAGGCTTGTGACCAGCCTCCCCTCCCCACGGGAGAAGGGAGCCTCCCGCTGGTGTGTGCCAGTGACCGTGGCGGTCATTCCCAGCGGTCCTCCTGGCTGGATCCCGCCTGGGTCATGTCTCGTGGCCGGAGGGCACGGAGGCCTGAGGGGCCCCAGCTCAGCCACACTGGCCGTGTGACCTGGGGTCACCGAGCCCTCCCACGCCCCATCCCTGCTCTTTAAGATGGAAAGCCGACCCTTCTCCTGAGGAGATGTGAGGTGCAGGAAGGCCCGCGCCCGGATGGTGGACAGGCCCCAGAGAGCTTCGGAGGCCCCTGGAAGCCGAGAACCCCTGCTTAGTACATTCCCGCTACAGGTGACTGTGAGGCACTCCCCGTGGGCCCTGCTGGCGCCTCCTCTCTAAGCCCTGCCTGCTGGCGTCCCTTCCGCGAGGGCCCTCACCTGTGTGAGCCCGGGCTTCTCCCTGAAGGCGATGATGGCCGCGGAGATGGGCAGGAAGAACTCCAGGAAGGTGAAGCAGAGCAGGCCCAGCTCTATCCTCTGGATGTGGACCTGGGAGGCGAGACAGGCGAGGCCCAGGTGAGGCCCAGGTGAGGCCCAGGAGAGGCCCAGGAGAGGCCCAGGTGAGGCCCAGGTGAGGCCCGGCACCCATGGCCAGGCACAGCAGGGGTCAGACCTGCCAGCGGAGGGCAGCGGGGGTGTCGGCCCCAGGTGGTGGAGCTGGGTCCTTCTCAGCCGCCGCTCATGGCCAACACCACTTCCTCGGGGAGGTCGGCCTAACCTTTGAGGGCTGGAGACCCTCGTGGGTCCTTGGCAGGACTGCTAGTGGCCTTAGGCGCCACCTCGTCTGCCCCCATTTAACAGATGGGGATACAGAGGCTCAGCGGGAAAAGCTTCTCACAGTGGGGAGCAGGGGAGCTGGGCCAAGGACCACCACGCAGCTGACCCACGAGTGCTGCAGGAACATGTTCATGTATGTGCACATGCGTGTGCATGTGTGTGTACATGGCGAAGGCGACAAGGAACAGCAAGCCACCGTGGCCAGCATGCTTGGAACCTGCCCGGGGCCTGCGGCCACCCTGGCGGAGGGGCCGGTGGGGTCTGCCTCGAGGTGGCTGTGGTGTGAGAAGAGCACTGGGCTTGGAGTCACAAGCCAGGTTTTGAGTCCTCACCACATCCTGCTTGCTGTGTGGCCTTGTTCCACTAACCTAGCCTCTCTGGACCTTGCTAACACAGCCATCACCTGCAGGTAACAAAGTGGAGAGGCCAGCTCTGCAAGATGGCGTGGGCTCACAGGTGACAGGCCACTGGGGCTCCAGTATGTAAAGAACCTTGGACAGGGAAACAGCTGTTCTCCACGGTGATCTTCAATTTGTTGCCCCCCTCATGCTCAACCTCAGACGTGCCCCTTCCCCATTCTGGATCTCAGTCTCCCCATCTACAAAAGGGGTGCTGGACTCAGTGACTCAAGGCTCACCAATGAGAGGGTCACATTCCCTTTGCTCCCTGCCTGGGGAGGGATGGGGGACAGGTGGGAGCAGACAGGTCAACCCTCCAGCCCCCTGCCCCATGCTGTCTGCGCCTGGCACTAAGGGAAGTTTTCTAGAGCTTGGCCAAGTTTTCTAGAGCCAAGTTTTCTAGAGCAAGCCCAAGGCAGCATTTCCTATGGGAGTCTGAGGATCCCCAGGGCCTGGGCACTCACCATGCTGTTGGGGTACATTCTCCAGATTGGGGACTGAAACGGGCCATCCAGAAAGAGATCTTTGATGATGACCAAGAAGCCAGCCAGCGCGCAGAGAAAGCTGATGATGTTTGTAGCCAGGCACGACTTTTAAAATCAAAAACAAAAGTAACAGCCCATTATCCAAAGATTAGCGAGTGCTGCAGGCCTGCCAGGGCCTTGCTCTGTGACCTCGGGAAAGACGCTGCCGTCTCTGGGCCTGAGACTCCTCAGCTAAACAAGAGGAGCTAAGCAAGTCGGTCCCCAGGGAGGCTCCGCTGGGCTCCCCTCTGATGGGATGGGGTTGGGAGAACCCTCACGGGCAGCACTGGCAGCAAGAGCTACTCAGCCATAAAAAATGGTGAAATCCTGCCATTTGCAATAACACAGGTGGAACTAGAGGGTGTTACATTTGGTTAAATAAATCAGGCGGCGAAAGACACATAAATCACGTGGTGTGATTTTACTTCTATGCGGTACAGCAAGAAACAAACATAAATGAGGAAAACCAGCTGCTAGACGTAAGAAAGAAAAGGGAGTTACCAGAAGGGACGAAGGAAGAGGGGGGGTCAGTTGGGACAGAGGGGTCAATCGTAGGGTCAGGGATGAAACGAGGTTTTTGGCGATGAGCGTAATGTCGTTCACGCACAGGGAGACGATGAGTCTGCACCTCTGGGACATACGTGAGGTTATAAACCAATGTCACGTCAATTAACAAAAAGACTGGGGAGCCCAAGGGTGGCCTTCAGACCTGCAGGCTTTGCTATAAAGGACGTTGCGACCGCCGTCCCCTCCAAGCCAGTCCTGATCACCCTGGCCCGCTCTGTCCACCGAGCTGGGACTCCAGGACACCCGAGCAGCCCCCGCGCAGCCCCCTCCCCACAGGAAGGGCGGGAGGAGCCCTGGAGACACCCTGTCCTCACATCCCAGGGCTGCCCTTGCCCTGCCCCCACCCCCCCCCCTGGTCCCTGAAATGTCTCTGCTCGTGCTCACTGGACTAAGGAGCATCCCCGGGTCTCTTGCCTGTGCAAACCCCTGCACTGGGGAAAGAGCATGGCCCTCGGACCCCCAAGACCCCCTATTTGTTTCTCTGCAGGGAGAGGGTCCCTCTGCTCAGGCACAGGGGCCCCGCCCAGGAGGGATGAGCAGGTCTTCCCCAAGCACCTCCTGCCTCCTCTCCCACCACAGCCTCCGGTTCTCTGTGCCGCTGGGCGGGCACCGTCCAGCCCAGGTGCAGGGGCACAACGGCAGCCAGGCGAGGGCGGCCGGGGCCCAGCGTGGGCTGAGGCTGTGACGTAAGCCGCGTAGGCACCGTCCTCCCGTCATCCTTCTGCCTCTACCCACGTGGTCCCGTGTGCCTCCCTGGGGCGCCCCGCTGGGAAGATGCCCGGACAGCAGGGTCCACCCATGGGGCATGGCCCACGGGACAGAGGGGACACTGAAGGCAGCCCCGGCGGGCGGGGGACACTGGGGGAGGGCGAGGCTGCCTGAGCTCTGGAGGAGGATCAGAGCCAAGTCAAAGGTGGAGAGAAGGCGCCTGGGGCGAGGGGCAGTGTGGGGCCCCGGGCTGCAGTTTTTGTCCGGAATCCTCGTGCAAGCTCCTAGCCAGTGCTGGGGAGCTGCCTCCTGAATCACCCCGACTCACGAATGCCCCATAAGTCATCCCGGGCGTGGCCTGGAAGGGGCTGACTTCCATGCTCCCACTTACCGGGTAAAATTTAGGAAACACGTTCCTTGTGAGGGTCACGGTCCCCGACATGAAGAACTGCAAGCAGATGGCGCCATCAGAGAACAGTCGGGGTCCCTTGAAACACACGTTCCCTCCCTTCCCGCAAGTCTCTAAGAAATCCAGATGCCAGCGGGGCAGAGAACACGGCGCCCCAGCCCAGGAGTAGTCCCTGTTCAGGCCTTGGCTCCCGCCCCGCCCCGAAGCCTGCCAGCTCCAGCCAGGCCGGTCTTTCCTTGCCCAGCAGCCCTGGTGCCCTGGGCGGGCGTGTCGGCTCTCGGACGCCCTCCTGGCCTGTTCACTAGCCCCGAAAGCTGCGGGATCCCCTCCTTGCTCACCCTTTCTCCCTGCCCGAGTCCTGCGCTGGGGAGGCTACTAGCTCTTGTTCTAAGGTCTCTGGCGTGTTTCTGTCCTCCTTTCAGACGTTTGCTGAGCACCTACTATGCGCCAGTGCTGGGAGCCCAGCGAGGAGCAGGCACTCCCTGTGGGGACAGTTTGGCCACTGGAGCTTGGAGCCGGGCACAGCAGGGGCAGAGGACTGGCGTGGCGCCGTGGGGTCGGGGCGTGCCGGTGCCTGGCACTGCCTGTCCTGGCCAAGGGCCGTGGAGGCTGGAGCCACGCCTTGCACCGAGTGCCCTGCAGACGCCCAGAGGGGGACTTCGGGGCCCGGATGTGTTGCTGCCTCCCCAGCCCGCCCGGTGGCCCCCGCTCACGCTCCCCTCCTCGCTGAGGGGTATGCGCACAGCGGTGGCTCTCCTGGACCCCGAATTCCAGTGTGAAGTGAGAACAGAAGCAGAGATGAGGGGACCCAGAAAGGGGCTGGACATGCTTTTCTCCTATCCCCTCACCCCACACCCCTGCGTCTGTTCCCCAGTGCCAGGGTCCCCTGCCTGCGGCCCCCCAACCCAGCCCTTGTTTCTGCCCGCACTCACAGAGACAGCCCCCCAGAATGGGTACCAGGATGCCACCACCATCAGGTGAAAGTTCTTGACTTCGCAGAGCAGGTAGATCCCAAAGGCCACGTGCAGCAGAGAGAGGACCACGTGGAAGCTCTGGGCAGGAGACAGGGGGCGCCTTAGGGGCTGGCCCTAGGAGGGGGGCAGGGCCCTGGACCGACCTGGCTGATCAGGTAACTGACCCACCACCCGGGGCCTGCTCGGGACTGGGAAGGAAGGGCCGGAAGCCCTGTCGGGCAACTGACGACGTGTCACTGAGCAGCTGGCTAGGCCGAGGGTGTAGACGGCCGCTCCCCTTCCTCAGGGGCTTTTTCCATGTTAGGATAAGTGTTCATCAGGGAAGCTGGGGGCTTTCTCATCTTCCTCTGCGCCCGGGGCTCCCCAGTCCCTTCCCCAGGCATCCGCTCCTCCCCACCCCCAGGCCCTGGGAGAGGGACACTCACACCCAACTCCAAGAGAAGGCCGCTGCGCCCGGGCGCCTTCCAGGGCTGGTCAGCAGCCACAAGCCTGGGTTGAGTCACTTGCTGGGACGGGCTTGTTGAGGTGGGGTTGACGGTCAGCTTGGAGGGTTGGAGGTCCCCACATTCAGACGTGGGGACAATGGCGGCTTCTTTGGAGACTACCATGGCTCAGCCCAAGAACCCTGCTGTGGGCCCAAGAGAGGCAGAGTCAGCACCCATCGCGTTCCTGGGGCTGTGCCGGGTGCTCTCTGGTCTGGGGCCTGTAGGACGGTGGCTGTCCTGCACAGTACCCCCTGAATGGAGTTGACCTGGAGTAACCTGGCCCCGGGAATTGGGGGTTGCTATGCTCACAGCCTCTCTGGGGTTATGGGGCACAGCTCTTTTTGGGGCGGAAACCAGGACCCAACAAACTCCCAGGCACTGCAAGATGGGATTCACCCAACTGACTGGAGCTGGGGGTTCAGGAGGCCTGGTGGGTGTGGCCCCAGAGCCCAGTCCCCAGCCACTGGCCCCGGGGGAGCTGAACGCGATGCACCAGAAGAAACAAGCTCAGGGGCCAGGTTCCCTGGGTGGAGCCTCATAGCAAGGGGGGCCGCAGGTGGGACTGTGTCCCCTGACTTAGTGGGGAGTGGGGGTGGGAGGCTGGGCCTCCTCCTTCCTGGGCCCCAGAAACCCAGCCAAGAGGCATGTTGCCAGGGACTCTCTTCTTCGTGACCTGACCCAGCGGGGCTGTGAATTCTTCCCTCTCGCCGTTTCCTCGGCCCTCCCTGCTCCCACGCAGTGAGCTGTGCTGAGGGTGGCGATGGTGGAGGCTGTACCCCGCAGTCACGGCCACCCCTGGGCATCTCCTGTGCCTAGAGGACAGGGCTTAGCGGCCACTGGGAAGTTTAGGTTATGGCCCTTCCCCTGTACCCCCACAGCCCCCCAGGGACTGCCCTCCCCCCTCATCTGGGCCGAGTCCATGCTCTGAGCACCCCCTTGATGACCTGGCTGAACACCACATCTGTCCTTGGGGGCTTTCACCCGCCCTGGCCGGTTTCCCTCCCTCTTCTCCCAAGAGCACTGCCTCATGGGCCAGGGCGCCGGGTCCTCATGCCGGGCTCTGCTTCTGGGTATTCTGGCACCCCTCCGTGCTTCCTCTGTGGGGACCACTCACCTGGCCCCGGGACTCTGCGCTGAGCTTCCACCCACACGCGTCTTCGGACCCTCCTCAGCGCACGGAGGCAGCCTGGAAGATCAGGACATATTTACAGCATCAGACTTTGCTCCGTCCCGCCCCCCAACCCTGCTGTGCGCCGCAGGTGCGCGTGAGCTGTCAAACTCTCCCCCACGCCCCAAACCCACGCAGGTGAAGACCCTACCCCCTCTCTTATAGCTGCAAGTGTCCTTTGGCAAAGACTCATGTTGACAGTTTAACCTATTTATCGTGCGGGGCGGCTGGGGTGGTCTTCACAGTCAGCCTTTGAAAAGATCTTTGTAATTTTGGAAAATTTCAAACCTTCACCAAAGCAGAGAGGATGGTCCTGTGAGCCCCCGCACACCACTGGAGCCGCAGCGCTCCGTCATCTGGTTCCTCCCCTCCTGCCCTCCCCCTGGGCAAGTGAGACCCCCACATACAATCTGCAGCACCCCTCCCCCTTGTTCATTAATTGACCCCCCTCATTTATAAAGCATTTAATGTGCACCTAGGATGGCCGGGCTCTGTGCTAGGCCTGGGATGTATGGGGGGGGGGTGGTCCAGGAGGGAATGACAGCCTCTCTGGTGTTTGGGGGACTTGGGTGTGATGGTAGGCAGAATCATGACCCCCAAGACAGCCGCGTCTTATATCCTGGGACCTGTGAATATGTTACCTCCCACTGTGAATGGACTTTGTTGATAAGATGAAGGGTCTTGGGAAGGGGAGGTTATCTGGCTTATGTGTCATCACTGGTCCTTACCTGAGGTGAGAGCTGGGGAGGCGGCTACACTGCTGGCTCTGGAGATGGAGGAGGGGCCCAAGGCCTCACAATCCAGGGCCAAGGCCACTCCTGGACAAGACAAAGATGTGGATTCTCTCCTGGAGCCCCCAGCAGGAAGGCAGCCCTTTGGGTGCCCAGATTTTAGGACTTCGGCTCTCCACAGCTATAAGATAATAAATGTGTGGTTTTAAGCCACTGGGGTTGGAGTAATTGGCTCCAGCAGCAACAGGCAGCTCATGGACCGTCTGACAGGGAAGACGATCAGAGAGACAGGGAGACGGCCAGGGAGGAGAGACTTGGTCCTGGATGTTCAGCTGTCTTGAGAGCACTACAGAGACCAGCTCAACTAATGGAGGGAGAGGATGAAGTCAGGAAGACTTCCTGGAGGAAGTGGTGTCTATACTGAGGTAGGAATTAAGTGGGACAAATAGGAGAGTGCAGAGAAGACAGGGGACCACACTTTAGGCAGGAGGATCTCACAGAGGTTTCGTAAGGCTATGTGGTTGGGTGGGTGGAAGAGTAGGGCAGTGTCTTCAGGACTTTGTAAACCTTACTGGGGGCCTTGAACTTCAACCTGAGGTCAAAGGAAGGGATCAGATAGCAGCAGGGCAATGACCCTATTGCTTTTGCACTTCAGAAAAAAATCCCTCTGGCTGTTTTCTAGCAGAATGAATGGTTGGGAAAGCTTGGAGCTAAGTTGAGATGGGGGCATGGGGCATGTGGACCAACTGGAGAAAGGAGAGGAAGGAGAATCAGCAATAGGAAGCCAGTGGAGAGCCGAACAGGGACATAGGAGGTGATTCCACGTGGAGGTCGGGAGGCGGGAGAACCAAGAATGCTGCTCGGATTCTGCCTCCAGCAGCAGCCACATCTGTATGGACATTGTCATGTGGTTTGAGTTGGGAGAGGACATGTAAGATGATTTTTAGTAGGATGTGAATCTGGCTCAGGGAAGAGACAGGTGGGAGATAGAGATTGGGAGCTGTCAGGATGGTGACAGATGGCGTATCTGAGCTCCCTGAGATTGGGGACCCAGGTGTCCCCAGAGTCTGGACACACAGTAGGCACTCATTCTGCACCTGCTAAATAAAAGATTAAGTGAGGGCCTCCCCGGTGGCGCAGGGGTTGAGCGCTGGGCTGCAAAGCTGCCCGCAGCCTCTGCAGCACCATTTCGATCCCGGGCTGCTCCCCGGCCACCAGAGGAGGGTCCCACATGGCGTGCAGACCTCTCCTGCCGCCCGCTGCTCCCCTCAGCAGTGTACTTCGGTCCTTCTGCCTGCTCTGCTCCCCGCTCTGGCTCTGGTGAATTCTCTCACCCTCCCGCTCTTCTGACTGTACCCAGTGCTTGTATGTATGTATGTATGTATGTATGTATAAATAAATAAATAAATAAATAAAGATGGAATTTCAAAATACTTTAAAAAAAAAATAAAACATTAAGTGAAACCAAAGTAGTAGCAGATGAGAGTGTTAAGTGCATGGAGGAGAACCCAGCTAGACCACAGTTTAGAAATGGATGAAGCTATTATTATTAAAATAAGGACTTTAAATAGCCCATTATTTTGGTGACAGTGAGAGGAGGAAAAAATAAACCCACAGCCCAAGGGGTTCAGGGGGTAAAGATAGGACTTTTTAAGCTGGGAGAGAATGAAACACATTGTATTTTCACATTCACAAAATTTAAGTGGACCAAAGTGTAACCATGGTGGACATATTCTAAGGTGGTCCTCAATAACCCTTCCCCTAGAAAGCAGGGGGCCCTGTGATACACTCCTACCCAGACCTCTACCAAGGCATCACACTGTATCCATAATTGCCTGTTACATAAGACTCTATCTCACAAGCAAACTTGCTCTGGAGACTCTCCCTAGCCAGCTACAAGGAACGAAACAGCTATGTGCTGAGGTCCACATGACAGGTGTTTTCTGGAGACTGAGAGCCAGGAGGAGGCTGGCACCTGCAGGCCCATAGCTGCAAGGAAACCAGCTCTACCATCGACCTGCATGAGCTTGGAAGTGGATTCCTCCCCAGCTCAACCTCCAGATGAGAACACAGCCCAGTTGCCACCTAGATTGCAGCCTCGTGAGACTCTAAGCAGAGACCCTAAGTCATAGCTGGATCCTGGACCACAGAGACTGTGAGGTTATAAATATGTTCCGCTCAGAACCACTAAGTTTGCTGTCTCTTGTTACACAAAAACAGATACTAATACAGTCACTTCTTTTGTTTTTCTTCCCCCTTCTTTTAGAAATCCATAAAATGCATGAATATGCACAACTTGATCAATCTTTATAATGTCTACACCCAGATCACCATCACCCAGATCCAGATATATAGAGCACCTGTTAGGCCCCAATGGATGCCTAGTAGCTCGCCCTCTCAGCACCACCACTGTCCAGGGCAAAACTGTGCTGATGTCCATCTTCATCACTGGTGCTGTCGGTCCTTGCAATTCATATCAGTGGAATCCCACAGCCCGTGTTCCTTTCCCTCATAGATGTGTCAATATTTTCTTCTTTCTTTATTTTTAATAAATCTATTTACTTGTAATGTTGCTGATGAACGTTTGAGATCGCATTCAAAACTCTTGCATGTGTCTTTTGGTGCATATCCACACTCATTCATTTTGGGTGTATGCTGCAGACCAGCCTCCGGCAAAATGTCGTGTCAGGGGTTCCTGAAAGGATGAGACGGCGTCCGTGAAAACGAAAGGGCTAAGGGGAAGGGGATGAGGTAGTGAGGAGACACTGACACTGGATGAGGTGCAAGTATCTTCTGCTGAGAGACTCAGCAGGTCTTTATTTATTCATTTTTAGTAATCAGAAAAAAATGCATTATCATGTGTAAAGCAGAGACAATCAGAGTATTTTATTCCCATGGACTACTGGCTCCTACAGGTTTCAGCTAGACAGTAGCTGTCAAGGTTAATAGATAAAAAACCAAACCTGACACTAAAACTTATTATTTCAGCTAGACAATTACCTAAGACAGTGGATAGCCGCCAGTACACCCCTATCAGCGCCTAAGCAAGAAAAGACTTTTCTTATTCACACGGAAACCAGCTGCTACTCAGCTATCAGAACCCTAGAGGCACATGCACTGGGTACAGTCAGAAGCGCGGGAGGGTGAGAGAATTCACCAGAGCCAGAGCGGGGAGCAGAGCAGGCAGAAGGACCGAAGTCTGCTGAGGGGAGCAGCGGGCGGCAGGAGAGGTCTGCGCGCCATGCACCCTCCTCCGGTGGCCGGGGAGCAGCCGGGGGCCTTCGCAGGCAGCTTCGCAACCCAGCGCTCAACCGCTGCGCCACCGGGGAGGCCCTATCAGAACCTTTTCTACCTAGAAACTTCTTAACACAGTTAACTTCATTTAAAAACTTTCCTAAGAAACTTCAAGAGAAGGCAAAAGAAGGACCTACTAGAATTATTGTGCTGGATTGCTTGTCAGGCATGTACAATAAATTGTCTCCCATTGTCAAGTGGGCCAAAATGTTTAACAACTAATTTCTAAACAGATAATTTTCCACGCCATCCACCCACAGTCTGCTGACACGTAAAATCCACTGCCCAATATACTCTCTAATAAATTTTTCTCTCTCTATGACCAAGAACAAAAAGCAGAGGGATGCCAGATCTTCAGCCCCACGGTGTGAGGCCCTTTCTCTTAGCTGCTTGTCAGTATCCTATCTGGCTGGGGCAACAAGGCCCCCTGCAGCAGGTGTATATCCAGGCATAGAATTTTTGGCTTGTACTGTACGTATATGTTTAACCTTAGCAGGTCCTGCTAAATATTTTTTCCAAAGTGTTGTGTTCCCCTACCCTCCTCCACTAACAATGTAGACGATGACTTTCTCAAACTCATCAAAACCTGTGTACTCAGTTTCCCAAAGTGACTTATTTATTTATTGACATCCATCTAATGTTGGCCATTTAGATGTTAACCATTTTGGTGCATTATAGTATCTATTGTGCTTTTAATTTGCATTTCTCTAGTGCCTAATAATTTATTGACCATTTTGATAGTCTTTTCTTTCTTGGTCAAAAACTGGCTCAAATTCTTTGCCTATTTTCAATTGAGTTGTAATTTCCTTCCCTATTTTTTTAGGAGTGACTTATATAGTCTGCATGTAAGTCATCTGTCAGATGACACAGACCATGTGTTTCAAAATGGTCTCCCAGGGCCTCCCTGGTGGCACAGCGGTTGAACGCTGGCTTGTGAAGCTGCCCGCAGCCTCTGCAGCGCCCGTTTGATTCCCGGCCACCGGGCAAGGGCCCCACATGGCGCGCAGACCTCTCCTGCCGCCCACTGCTCCCCTCAGCAGTGTACTTCATTACTCTGCCTTCTCTGCTCTCCCCTCTGGCTCTGGTGGATTCTCTCACCCTCCCGTGCTTCTGACTGTACCCAGTGCTTGTATAAATAAATAAAATAAATCTTTAAAACAAAACAAAACAAAAACAAAAAAACCCAAAATGGTCTCCCAGTCTATGGGGTCATTTTCATACTTATGGTATCTTTTGATAGACAGAGTTCTTAATTTTAATAAACTCCAATCAATCTTTTCTTTTATGATTAGTGGGTTTTTTTTTTCTTTCATTGTGGCCAGTTTGAGACGTCTTTGTTTATCCCAAAGTAATAAAGATCTTTTTTTTAGACGCTTGTTTCAGTTTTCTAATTTTGGTCTATGATCCATCTTTTTTTTTAAGATTTATTTATGCATACAATAGCTGCAGTGCAGGCCAGAGATGCAGGGGGTGAGAGGATTCACCAAAGACAGAGTGGGGAGCAGAATAGGCAGATGTATTGAAATACACTGCTGAGGGGAGCAGTGGGCAAGTCGGGAGAGGTCTGCTGCGCCATGTGGTAACTCCCTGGTTGGGGATGCTGCAGAAGCTGTGGATAGCTTCATTGGTTGCGTCTTAACCCTTTGCGCCACGAGGGAGGCCCTTTATGATGCATCTTAACTTAATTTTTATTTATGGTGTGAGGTAGGAATTAAGGTTCATTATTTTTCTATACCAATATTCACTTGCTCCAGCCTAACTGATTGGAAAGAATGTCTTTTCTTCACTGAGTTGCATTGGAGCTTTTGTTGCAAAATCAATGATTCTGAAATCTCTATTTTATTCCTTGGTCTATTTTTGCACTATGCACTCGTAGGTATTACTGACCTATAGTAAGTCTTGAAACCTGGTCTTTTAAGTCTTCCAACCCTGTCTTTCTTTAAAGTTTTCCTGGATATTGTAGATCCTTTAAATTTCCATATGAACTTTAGAATTAGCTTGTTAATTTCCCCATAAATAACTGCCAGAATTTTAAATGTGATTGTATTAAATCTGTAGATAAATTTTGGAGATCAGTGACAGTGAAACAAAACATTGAGCTTGCTAATCCATGGACATAGTCTATCTCTTCACTTATTTTGATCATCATTAATGTCTCTTACCTTGTTTTGTAGTTTTCAGCATTTTTCTTTTCCCTGAAACGCACGTCTCTACCTTCCATATCCTCTTGGTGGTAGCGAACGTAATCTTGCCAATTCAGGATGACTCAGTCACTTCCTGTGACTTCCAGACCACCCATCATGACCGGTCCTCCCTGGCCTCCCACTGGCAGCCACTGTCTCCACTGTTCCTTGCAACAAAGTCTCACACAATCCAGGGTTCCCATCAGCCCTCTCAGCCTCTTTGATACACAGGAAACATCTGGATGCTTTTCTCATATCCACAGAGGGCTCCATGCCAGGTCACAGGCCACGACCTTCAGTCATCTCTGGTTCCATGCTGTCTGGACAGGGGACATCTCTATGGGCCTTGTCACAGCCAGGGGCATGAAGAAGACTCTGCACTTTAATTCCTCCTAATTGATCTGTGGTTTTTGGTTTCCACATCTCCTGAGGGACTTAGTTAAGTGGACACAGATGGTAGTAATCCCAGACTGAGGCTGAGCTCTATTTCCTTCTTTTTCTCCCTCATCCCTCTCTCCAAACTTCTCCCTGATATTCAGAAATCGATCTCTTCTATATGTGTCAGAAAAACTGGTCTTAAATCCACAAACATATCACCCTCAACTTTATGTTCTTAAACATTTAACCCTAAGCCCTTAAGTCTCTTCTCTTGATATTAAAAGCCAAAGCATGTTGTGACCCCACCCCACTCTGCACTGGTGGGCCCTGGGGGTGACTTCCTCCCTAAGGGGGCCTCACTTGCCTCCCACCCTGCAGCTGGCTGCACTTAGCCTCTAGCCCACTGCCCCTCCTCAGGAGACCTCACAGGAGGGGCAACATTTGAATTGGGGCTCGAGAGAGGAGTTAGGTGAAGAGGAGAGGATGCTGAGCCAAGCCTCCCACCTGGGCCCCTGAATACCAGGGAAGGGGTCTCTCTGACCCCAGACTCAGCCTAGCTCCCAGGTGACCTCAGGGTCAGCAGCCCCTCTGTCTTTGGGATGGAGACGCAGAGGAAGGGGAGCGGGGTGGAGGCCAGCGCTGGAGTTTGGACTGTGGGGAGCCGTGTGGTAGGAGCACAGACTGCCGCCAGATGCAGCTGGTTTGAAATCGAGCCTGGACTCCCGACAGCTCCGTGTTCTCAGCTGGACCCTGGGCAGGAGTGTCTCTTGTTTGGGCCAAAGCAGGGATTGCACCACGCAGAGCCCAGCGCCTGGCACCCCCCGCCCCCACTCCGTCCCCACCACACACACACATTTTGCTGTCATAGCAGGACAGTTGCCCAGGACTTTTGATCAACATGGGACAAACTTGAGAAGCCCCTGAAGTTAACAAGAAAAAGCCATCGCAATGAGACCAGCTCAAAATTCCAGCCACGCTGTTTATTCCCCTCTGTGATATGGAGGAGCCAAGCCTCCTGCCTGGGCCCCGAATACCAGGGAAGGGGTCTCCTTGACCTCGGACTCAGCCTAGCTCCCAGGTGACCTCCGGGCCAGCCTTGCTCCTCTGGCTGCAGGGAGAAGGAGGGGTGCTGCAAGGCACAGGGAGGTCCTGAGCCTCCTTGGGAGGGGGAGCTTTCTGGGAACGGGGAGCCCCCCATTGCTTTGCACCTGTAGATGTCATTGGGGTGCAGCCCTCCCATGCAACCTCCCCAACCCTGGCAGGAAGGTGGGCAGAGCTGGAGTCAATATGACCCCATCGCTTGAGGGTGCTTTTCTGGAGGCAGTGGGGGTGGGGATGGAGACAATGCCTGGCTTAGACCCAGGACCTCAGAGAGCCCAGGGGGAGCTTGAAAGGCCTTGTAAATCATCTAGTTCAACGCTTTAGTTTCCAGGTGGGGAAACTGGGGCACAGGGGCAGAGATTACAAGGCACAGGACTGACCCTGGTCAGACCATGGTCCGTTCTGCTCCAGGCAGGGGACTCAGCACTCCTTTCTGGACGATTCTGGGCTATCTGAGCTTAATGGCCTCCCAAAGCCTGAGGGTCAGGGCAGCCCTCCATCCTTCCCCCCAAGAAGCCAGGCTTGCCGAGGAGCAGAGACTCAGAGGGCACACGGGGCTTTCCTGGAAGGGGCCCAGGGGCTGAGGGAGGCACATTCATGACATCAACTAGGTCTTTTAGGGAAGGAACCACTGGAGCGAAATGTGTGGGACAGAGGCTCCCGGGACACTGCACTCAGGAGCCACAACACACGTGAACTGGGGTGTGGGGTGGGGAGAGGCCGGGCTCTGAGCACCAGGCTCCACCAGCCGCGGGGACCATCTACTCCGACGACTCCTTGGGGATATACGCCACATTGTCATAGGCAGGGGGAGGAGAGGCTGCTGGGCTGGGGATGTTGAAGTCTGTGCTGAAGGCATTGGGCAGGAAAATCACAGGCTGCAAAGAAAAAGAAAAAGAAAACCCAGCGATAGTCCTGGAGGCTTTGGTGCCTGCCGGGAGGCATTGCAATCGCACCCCTGGTGTGGGTTCCGGGCACGGCGCCCTCACAGTGAGTCCCGCAGCTCTTCTGGGGGGGAGCTCATGGGGGTGGTCCCTCCTAATAGCTTCCCAGAGGGACCAAGGAAGGGGCCAGCAGCCTCCTCCGAGGCCCAGGTTTGGGGTGGGCGTGGGGTGGAAGTCCATACCGTGCTGGCTTGGGCGCGGGTGGCTTGGCACCCAAAGTGGGTGGCAACGACTGCGATGAAGAACTCCAGGATGGTGAAGATGGTAAGCACGGCCAGGTAGCCCCGGCCCACGTCCTGTGGACCGAAAACCCACAGTCAAAGCAAGCCCAGGGTTCTAGAAAAGAGGAGGAACACCTGGCCCAGGTCACCTGGCCGGGCGAGAGGGTGCGGGCAGAGCCTTACTGGACCCTGACCCCTCCCCTCACGCCCAGACGGCTGCTCCTCGCTCCAGTGCCACTGGGGTAGGCCCAAGGGGTCTGTTGGGATTGACAGGCCCTGCCAAGGACCAGAGACTGGACAGTCCCCTCCCCCCATGTGGCTCTTCACTCTCCACGTTTCCTGCTCCCGGGGGCGTTGGATCACCCACCCAGTTAGTGACGCCGAAATCCATGAGCAGAATGGCTGTGCCAGCGAAGGCTGCCGTGGCGCTGAGAATGTTGGTCCCCAGGCTGCTCCTCACCTGCAGGACAGGGAGACAGGAAGGAGCCGAGGCCAGGAGGAGAAGGGACAGGTCCGGCTGAGCCTTCTCCACCGCCCAGCCTCCCCTGCAGGGTTCCGTGGCCGCTTCCCCTCCCCCGCCCCTCTCCGAGCAGCCGGCCCCATCCCCCTCCGGTGCAGAGTCTCCTGCCCAGGGGCTCAGGGCACCTGTCCCAGCCCAGACTCTGAGCTGAGCTGGGCGGCCCTCGCGTTAGCCTGGGGGCTAACCTCAGCACCTTCACACACTGCAGCCCTCCGGCGTTATTTACCGACTTTGGGGCCTGACTGACACCAGAATGCAAGCTCCTGGCGGGCAGGGACTGGACCTTTGCTGCTCTGCCCTTCGAGCCTGGCTGGACTCGCCCCTGCTTAAAGCCCCGATCGCCTCCCTGTGGCCAGCAGAAGGCTCGCAGGCCTTGCACAACCTCGCAGGAGCCATTCCCCCTGTGACCCGTGGCCAGGCCCCATGGAGCCGCTGATGGCTTCCCGAGCAGCCCTGCCTGCGCCGCCTCCCGTGCTCGCTTTTCCCTGGGCATGTCTAAATCCAGCCCCCGCCAAGGCCCAGCCAGCGGGGTCCTCCTCCAGGAAGCCTTCGGGATCTTTCAATGAACGGCTCGCCCCCTTCTGCCCTGGTTGTCACTTGTTTCTCCCTGTCCAGGACGCAGCTGAGGCCCGGCCTGGCGCTCAGCGGGCCTCGGAAGTTCTGGCTGAGGAGCCCAGGAGCTGATTGGGAGGGGCCCGGTCACTCCCGCGCCCCTGACCCCTTCGCACTCACCAGGCAGCCGGTGTGGTTCCTCTCGGCCGCCACCGACAGGGACCCGGACATGATGAACTGCGGGGAGGAGGCCCCCGTGAGGCTCTGCCGGGCCCCCGGGGCTCCGGTGCGCCTGGCTTAGCTGAGAGATGGTGATTGAGATGGGCCTGGGGGCCTGGGGGCCTGGGTGGGGGGAGGGGGAACAGGCAGAGGAGCCCCCCTAGCCTGACCCCAAAGCCCTGGCTCTCCGGGGTGGCCGGGCGTATCAGGTGCCCCAGGGTCACTGTAAACACCCCCGTTTTCTCTCCATGTTGGAGACTGCAGGGATGGCCTCCCTGGGGCGGGGGTGGGCAGGGGAATGGGCTCAGGAACAGCTGAGGGGCTTCAGATCTAGCCAGACCCCTAGGGGAGGGGGTTCATGTAGGCTGGGGCCCCTGGGGAGCTGATGGGTGTCCGCAGCCGGGGCTGGGAAGTGGGGTGAGGCACAGGTGTCCTTATCCCGCCCCCATTATTTTGGGGGTCCTCTCCGTGCCAGGCTCTTTGCGGAGGGCTTTCCCACACTGGGCCGGGGTCTTGTAATTAGGGTGCGTGATCAGGAGTGGGATCTGGGCTCGGGCACCGGCCCCCACAGAGCCGGGAGAAGGTGCCGGGGAAGGTGAACCGGGCCCGCCGCCGCCCCAGGGCCCCGCACTCACGCAGGCGCCTCCCCAGAAGGGCACGCCGCCTTCGATGAAGAGCATGCCCACGTGCCCGCGGCGCACCATGAGCAGCACGCTGCCGAAGCCCAGGTGGATGAGGCCGATGAGGATCTGGACCGTCTGCGGGGGGCGGGGGGGGCGGCTCAGCCTGGCTCCACACCGCGCGCTGCCCAAGGCCCCGCCCGCGCCCCCATGGACTGGCCGCGCTCAGAAATCAACGGTTCGGTTCTTTTGAGGGGACATCATCAGAACAACCACCCAAGATAGCTTGAAGGAAAACCAGCTCCCCACAGCTTTCGGGCCGCACCAGCCTGTTTCCAAGGGTTTGCCTCTTGCTCTGGGCCCGGGATCTCAAGCCTGTCCCTGCGTGGCTGCCACGTGCCCGGAGACCTCCTGTCGCGACACATCACCCCCCCACCCTCGGATTTCCTTCCCCTTCTCCCCGCAGCCGGCAGCGACTATCTCCTCGAGCATCTTCCTCAGGCTGTGTCTGTCCGTGAGGCACCCGGTGCGCCGCCGGCACCGCCTTCCTCCCAGCTGACATCTGCACTCAAGTTTAGGACTGATTTTTGAGAGTCAGTTTACCAGCACCCCACGGGAGCATCCCCAGAAGTGGAGGAGCGCCCCATGGGCACATCTCCCAGAGATGGAGGGGTGCGGGCTTCTCGGAAGCGCCCCTGCTTGTCTTCCCCAATGCTTTTGGTAACGAATGGACTCCAGAACCGAGGGGAGAAAACCTTGGCAGCCTTGAATTCGACCTCTCCCCACACGGCGCCCTTGCCAACTTCTGGCCTCTAAAGGGACTCTGTGACCAGGTGCCCCGTCCCCACAGCGGCCCCCATTTAAGGGCCGCTCTCACGGTGACAACTGGAATCACATTCTTGATGCCGGGGGACACAGGTGTCTTCTGTCAAGAGTGCCAAGAATTTGGGTATTTATAGGCAGGGCCCCTGGAATCTTCTCTCTTTGGCCGCAGGTCTTCCATCTCCCCAGCCTCCTTCGGTGGCAGGGGCTCCCAGCTGCCCACGTCACTCTCCTGTGCAGGCCCCTGCACTGCTGTGGTGATCACTCATAAAGTATCAGCTGCCACCCCCCCGCCTGTATGTGTCAAGCAATGTGCTGGCTGTTTTGCAGCCATTACCTCCTCTACCCTAATGCGATGGAGCAGCTATGACTGCCTTCATTTTGGAGCTGAGGCAACCGAGGCTCGGAGAGTGTCTCAGCCATGAAGTGGCAGCCCTGCTACCTCGACAGCCGGTGTTCTTCTCACTGTGCAACACCCCCAACGCCCATTTGTATTTCCCACTTTTTATGCTCTTCAGCAATTTGGGTTTGTTTCGTGGAATTCCTTTGGGGGAACCCTTTGGTTTCTAGGCTCTGCTCTAGGATTTCAGGGTTCCGGCAATGGATGGCCCCAGCTCTGTTCACTGCCCCTTCATGCGCCTGGGGACCCAATGGGGATGTACTGCAGAACCCACGATTCAGCATGCTCACGCCTGAGCTCCCGGGCGCTGTGAGCAGTGGGGTTGGAAGCAGAACGTGAGGGCCAGGCCATCCCAGGGCACAGGCTGCCACTCACCAGCCGTGAGGCCTTGGGCCAGGGACTTAGTCTTGACAGGACTCAGTTTCCGAATCTGTGCAATGGGTGCTGACCCACAAGGTGGAGGTGAGACTCTGAGCCAGTGCCTGCAAATTCCCTAGCACCGAGTCTGCACCTCTCAATAAGGCGAGGGCAGTTATCATCACCATCACCATCATCACCATCATCAGCATCACCATCACCATCATCATCATCATCATCACTTTTGTCTTCCATTGCTTACGCCATGTTTTCATCTTCCCCTTGGAGAAACTGAGGCCAAGGGATAAACTGGATGCTGGACACATATACACAGATAAATTTCTATCCACATCTACCTACTTACTTTTCTACTTATCGGTCTCTATCATCTACCCAGCTATCATCTATCTACTATTCCCTCCTAGAGACCGATACGTCAAGGTCATCCAAGGCTGGAAAAGCCCTTACAGGTCATCTCTAAGACTGTCGAGCCCGCAGGAGCTCACCCTCACCCACCACTGCGACGTCCGCTCATCTCCTTCTTCGTTTGCTCATGACTTTCTAGCGAGGTCAACCTTCTATGTCACCCTGGGACATGCCACACCTTTACCTGGCTGTTCCCTCTGCCTGGTGAGCCCTTATGCCCCAGAGTCCCCTCTGCCCACTCTTGCCCACGCTGCCCCTCCCCCTCCATCTTTTTCACCCCTGCCACCCTGTTTGAAGTTCTCTTAGCCGTTTGTTGACTGCTTTGCGCTCTCTGAGCTCCGTGGGGCAAGGAGCCTGTCTGTCTGGTGCAGGGCTGGATCCTGCCGTCCTCACTAAGCAGGACTCCTGCTCCCTGCTCCCTGCTCCAGCGTGTGCACGAATGTTCTGGTGCTGGGGCGCTCCCTCCCTGCGCAGCCTCAGGCTGTCTGCAGGGGCTGCTCTTACCCCTAAAGCTTTGGGTTCTCCCGTCAGGAATGTCTCCATGGGCCGCAAGTCTGGCGGCTGGGTGGCCCTTGTCGTCTGCGCCCCCAGAGGTGGCTCCTCGAACTGCATAATCCCGGGGGGCTGGCACATGGAGGTGGGCAGGATGGCCTGAGCGGGGCGGAGGCCACTGGCGTTGCTGGGCGGGATGACAACGAACACCCCATTGCTGGTAGGGGCTGCGGACATGGTGCTGAGAGAGCCTGGGGGACAAAGAGAATGACCGTTGTGACGAGACATTTGCACAAAGCTTGTTAGTTTATATAGCAACATGCCTGCCCACCCTTGCTCTCTGCAGACCCCTGGTGATGCCCCCCCAAATCTTTGATTGCCAGCGGGGAGACATGGGAGGAGGCAGGAAGGAATGCCAGAACTCCAGGGTCTGTAGAGGAGGCAAGGTCACGACGTAATCCCCCTCTCTCTGACCCAAAGTCCTGCTCCTAATCTCTGCGCTCTGTTAACATGGAAGGACCTCAAGGAGGGACGTGCGTTTAAACTTCCTTTCCCCAGAGAGGGCAAGTGGCTTGTCCAAGAACACACGGCTAGTGCCAGGCAGCGCCGAGCCAGCTCGAGCCTCATGGCCTGTGCACCAGGACTCCACTGTCCCTTAGCCCGGGACCAACGAGCCTGCACACCAGCCTCCCGGGTAACTTCCTGCGCCGGGAGCCTTTCCTTTCCCCCGCCAGGCCATCGTCATGCACAAGGCTGGGCTAAGCGCGAGAATGGAGACTCTGCTCGGCTCTACTCCTTACCCACCGGCAGTCGGGAGATGGGCTGCTAGGCCAGGCCAGAGAGCCCTACCAGACCTTACAAAGCAGTCCGCCCCCTCGCCCCCCTTGGGCATGTGCTGCCTCAGGGCATGGCTCTGGAGAGAGAGGCTTGGCTGCTGTAGAGACTGGGAGATGTGAGGCAAGATGGCCGCCTCCCGGCCCGTGTCCTCACCTGTAAGGGGTGATGGTTACCCTGGCTCTGCTCTCATAGGGTTTGGTGTGAATGAGATGGAAACAGCACACACAGGCTGATAAAATCCATCCTTGAGAGTGTGATTTGTTGTAATGTAATACTATCCACCTGACGTATTTTCTTAAAGATAATGTAGATGTATAAGCCAGACAGACACGACGGGCAGTTAACATGCGTCCTCTTCAGTGCTAGAAAGAAATGTCCTTGCTCAGCAGGTTTCTGTGAGCAGAGGCATCTCCAGAGAAAGGGTTGGAGAAGGACAGGGTGAAAGTTCACTGGCCGGTGGAAGTGATTTGTCATTTGGAAGTGCTTCCTGCAGCCTGGGAGCTGAGAAGGTGATGCCAAGAATGGGTCGCCACAGGATTAGGCTGGATTTCCCCTCACAGCGGCCACTCATTTGCAGAAACTGAGAAGTGATGATTAACAGACATGGCCGCTGCTTGGAACAGGGTTGGCACATTTCCCATAGAGTCAGAGTAAATATTTAGGGGTCTAGGGCACCCTCTGACTTCTGTTGCAAATATGAGCACGACGCAGACAGGGATGGGCATGACTGTGTTCCAATAAAACCTTCTTTACAAAGTTTATTATACCACAGGTGATGGGCAGATCTGACCTGTGGCAATGGTGGTCCTGGCTGAGGTTTTGGATCCTGTTCTTAGAATGCTGCCTGGCACACAGGGCATGCTCAGTAAATTTTAGCTATGGCTTCAAATATTGTTTACAGTGATTATTTGCTCTGGTTTGGGGTAAGTTGTGAAACTGTTTGGAGCAAGACTAGATGTCTATAAAATCAGGATGATGGTGGCTGCTTGCTCTGCCTCAGAGGTGTATGTGGAGGGCGAAATGTGGATGGAAAAGAAAGTCCTTGGAAATCGACCAAGTGCTGGGAATGTGTTGGGGGCTTGCTTTTAGGGTTGTAGTTTCAAAGCAGCGTGGATGTGGTCCTATCTCATCGAGCACCTCTTGGGAAGTTGCTGGAATAATGCTCAGTAGCCAGGCTGCACAGTAACCCAGTTCAGTGCTGGGAACTGGGTTAACAAACGCCTATAGTCATTATGTTTTTGGGGACTTACTCTTTCCTTGGAACACTTCAGATGTTTCTTTTTTTTCCCTGACTTAAATGGAGATTTATTGACTGCAAACTGAAAAATCGAGGCACAGGTTTCAAAGACATTTGATCCCAGGGCACAAATGAGGTGTCCACGAATCTGTAGCTAACATATTATTTTTTATCCTTGCGTGGATATTTGACAATTCATGAAGGTTTGAGATGACAAGACTCAGACCACCGAGGAACAAGCTCAAGGGACCTGACTTGTAAATGGCAGAACCAGGATTCCTACCCCAGCCCCAGCTGCCCTTCCCCAAAGCCTGCTCTTGTCCTCCTGTTCTGTCCCTCCACTCCCCAAAACCATCAGTTATCTACCCATTGCTCCAGCTCTTCCCTTCTGGATGCCGTAAAGTCCTGTTTGGACCACACACATGTGCGGGGAAGTGCACTCATGGGTCATTTAATGTTTTGGTTAACAACGGACCCCCAGATGTGATGGCAGGGCCACAGCCTAGGTGTGTCATTGGTGACCCCATCTAGGTATGCACGACAGTGACAGAACCATCTAACAACGCCTTGCTCAGCCCGAGAGCTCATTATTAAGTGACGTGTGCCTGTATTTGTATAGCTTGTGGGTGGAAGCGTTTAGTCATCAGAGCAAGACACTGCAGGGATTTTTCTCTTGTTGCAAGGATTAGCAACATCTCAGACTTGCCCGAGTCCCTGAGGGAGGATGATTTGGAGAAGAACCACTGGAACAAGGAAGAAGTACATCTTTGCTGTGCTAGACCACAGAGCTGTTTGTTACAGCAGCATAACCTAGCTCGGCCTGCCTGTTACACTCTCCAAAAAATGACTACAGATCAGGGTCAGACGCAGAGCCCGTGTCTTCCAGGAGCCTGGGACAAGCAGGAGGAGAAAAGAGGTTTGCCTTTCACTCCCATAAATGACCATCGAGCATCTACCAAGCTTTGGGGCTGGGAATGCTAAGATGAATTAAGCCCAGATGCCCCGCCCACAGACCTTGCAAGGTAGACTGGGCTCTCTGGTGGAAGAGGGGGGAGCTGTTTGCCCCAGCGTGGAGCTCAGGGAAGTCCTCAAGGAGGACCTGGATCTAAAACAGAGGCCTTGGGCTGTGCCTCTTCTCTCCCCACCCCCACCCCACATTCCTTTGCTTTTTTTTCCTCTACTTCAATCTCCTTCTCCAGCCCCTCCCATGGCGCATTTCCCTCCCTGTCAGGCATTTGAGAAAAGCAGGTAATTGCAGACCACTACATGAAACATTTCCTGGCCTGAGAATCGCAGTAAATGGGCCGCGAGGGTGGGTGGGCAGGAGAGTGGGGGCCCCGCACCCCAGTCTTGGCCTCTTGCGCGGGAATGTCTTATCCCAAAGGAGGGACAGGAGTGGAGTATTTGTTGTGTCCAGAGATGAGGGGAGGGAGGTTCAGAGAGGGTGACGGTGTCCCCCCACGGTCACAGCACGTGTCCCCCACGGCAGCAGCGGAGAGCAGGGGTAGGCCCGGACTCATCTAGGGAGGAGGGCGGCTCTGGAAGGCGTCACTCCTGCCACTGCCCGGGCGGGGGACCCGCACTTCTGGTCAGAGCCCCTGAAGTCAGAGGCCCGAAATGCTCCGAGTCCACAGATCAGTAAATTGACACAGGTTGGGCGCAGGATGAGCCACAGCGTCCCACTTCTTCCGGCAGATTCACGCAAAACGTCACCCTGTCCTCACCAGCGCGGGAAGGGCGCTGCCCACCGGAGAGGTGGAAGGTCCTCACTCGAGAGGAAGGACACACGCTTGCGGCTTGCGGCGGGCGAGCGCCCTGCTCTGCCTGCCCTTGTCCCTTCAGCAGAGACCAGGGAAGGCGGTGCCGCCCCCCAGAGGCAGGTGGTTTAGGGGTTTAGCTTTCTCCCGGCCCCTACCTGCTCAGGGCCAGCTCGGGACCCAGCCTGGGGAGGGAGCACTTGCGTAATTAACAGCATCGCTCAGGGCAGGGGGTGAGAAAGGAGCTGAAACCGAGACCTCGCCCTCCTTAGCAGAAGTGCAAACACCTACCAAAATAGGTTCTGCGCGCCAAGGCGGGTGAGTGGCAGGCGCGAAGCGGCCCTCCGCCCCGGGGACCGCAGCCCTGTCTGTAGCGCCCCCGCCAGCCCCACCGCACCCGTAGGCCGGGGAGCCTGCCTCAGGCTCCCAACTCCGTGCCACCCAGAATCTGTGCCACCCAGAATCAGCCAGCATGCCCTCCGTGCGCGCGAGCGTATGCCAGGGCCAGGCTGAGGAACCGGGAAGGCCACAGCCCCGCTCCAGGGGACAGCTGCCCCGGGACAGAGGCGGGGAAACACCCGGACAAGGGTGAGCAGTGTGGCGCTGCCCCTCAAGCGCACGGCCCTGCAGTCTGCAGAGTGGCGGCCTGCGTGCGGCCATAGACCCTGGGTCCTCCCCGGGGGTAGGTGGCATTCCACGCACTTTGCAGCCCCGTGCCTGGAAGTTGGATGCCGCTTCCCGATGCTGAAACAAGAGGTGTCCCGAGACCTGACAGAGGAGCGAGCGGAGCCAGCTGGCCCCGGGGACTGGCAAAGGCAGGGGCCGAGCACCTGCTGTAATAGACGTGACTCTCAGCCGCAGGGGTGGGAGTGGAGCTGAGAGAGGATTTGGGGGGAGGACATTTAGAGGGAGCTGGGCCCGGGGTGGGGGTGGTGGACACACCCCTGTTCTCCTCCAGGCAAGCTGCAGAGGCTGGCTTTAGGGAGACCCGGGGACCTTGACAGGCACCCCCTGCATTTGCACCTGCTAGATTTCTGCGTTGAGGGAGGGGGGTGGGAGAGTGGGCCCTGGAGGGAGACCCCGCAACACACCTCGGTGCGGAAAGTTTAAACGCAGCCAGCCTCAGGGACGGTGAGGCCACCTCCCAGAGTAGGGGACAAGTGCGAGCCCCCCACCATCGCCCCTAATAACAGCCTGGCCGGGGGGACAGCCCTTCCCCTCTCTGGCCTCTGTTTCTCCATCTGTAAATGAGGAGTGACATTTAGGGGAGATATTTGCCTGGAGCCTCTTGCCAGCTCCCTTCTCCCAGGGGAAGGGCTGGCGCCTGCACACGGGGAGGAAGCCCCGCTCTGCCCACCTGGACGGGGAGGAGAGGTGGAGAGGCCGAGTCTGCCTCCCTGGGGATGGTTGAGGTCCAGGGGTCTCTGGGGACACCCGAGCCATCCCAGGGAGGAGAAGGCAGACGCCCCTGCTCGGCCCCACACCCCTGTGAGCAGGCCGGGCCTGAGCCGGGGGCCGCTGTCACTGGGAGTTCAGTCGCCTCGGGGAGCTGTCCTGCCCTGTGCCCTGCCGGGTGGGTGCGAGGCCACGAGGCACAGCTTCCCCACCTCTGTGGTGTCTCCCTGTCTCCTTGCCGGGCTCCGCATGCCCCTGCCCCCCGCCCCCGGGACTGGGTGACCCGCAGGGCAGCTGGTACTCACCGGACTGCCACCTCGCTGCGCCCGCCGCCGCCCGCTTGCTGCTGCCTCTGCGCTCCCGCAGCTGCCGCTCCCGAGTTCACACATACTCATGTGAAAGGCTTGCTGCTCTGCGATTCGCGTGGGGCTTGGAAATCCGCTCTGCTGAGGAGCTGCTGCCTCTGGGAAGTTCTCAAGTCCCTCCCGGCTCTGAGGTCTCCACCCCCTGACCCAGGGGGCCCAGGAAGCTGCTGGAATCATTGGTCTCCTGTGCAAGGGCCCTGGGAGAGCATCTAGTTCTTTCTTCAATGTGTGGTAGGGGAAACCGAGGCCCAGAGAAGCACACGGCCCATGGGGTTCCTGCTGTCAGATGAGAGCAGGGAGCAGGAGCCACGTTGGCCTCCCACGCCTGAGGCTGAGCGGGGGCCCAGGGGGACAGGGGCTGCCTGGCTTTCACCCCCCCACCATCCAGTGTGAAGGAGGGGCCAGCGGCGGGGGGCAGAGTGTGTAAGCATCAGAGCGTGTGAGAGCATGAATGTGTGTGAGAGCTTGAGCACATGTGAGCATGTGTTAGTGAGAGAAAGCGTATGAATATGTGAAAGCATGTGAGTGCCTGAGCGTGAACATATGTAGAACACATACGGGTGTAGGTGTGAGAATGTGTGTGAACGTGTGCAGCATGTATGAGTGTGTGTGGGTGTGTGTGCATGTGTGAGGTGGGTGTGAGTGTACTTGAATGTGTGGGTGTGAGTGGGTGTGGAGGGTGTGAACATGTGTGAGTGTATCTGAGCCTGTGAGCAGGTGTGAGTGTGCACACGTGCAGAGTGATATTCAAGTGGCACAGGCACTGAGAATTTACGCATCTGTTTCTGGATTTAGATTCTCAGCAAAAAAAGCTCCTCAGGGGACCTCCCCTGGTGGCGCAGCAGTTGAGCGCTGGGCTGCGAGGCTGCCTGCAGCCTCTACAGCACCGGATCGATCCCTGGCTGCCAGCGAGGGTCCCACATGGTGCGACAGACTTCTCCTGCCGTGCCCGCTGCTCCCCTCAGCAGTGTATTTCGTCAGTCTGCCTGTTCTGTTCCCCGCTCTGGCTCTGGTGAATTCTCTCACCCTCCCGTGCTTCTGACTGTACCCAGAGCTTGTATAAATAAATAAATCTTTAAAAAAAAAAAAAAAAGCTCCTCAGGCCATGGAAAGTCAGGGGGATGGCCTGGTGGTGGAGGTGGGCAGTGGGGTAAGGCATGGCCTGGACCAGTTCTCAGCTAAGCCGGGCAAAGGTCGGCAGGTTGATTGCAAAATGGCCGTACTTCTCTCCCTCTCCACGTAGCTGATCTGGAGCTGACGGGCTTGCTGCGTGGAGTGTGTAAAAACAATATTATGACAGCAGTTATCTGAAATAAAGAAAAAGGTTTGAGTTGATTGGCAAGAACAGGGGAGCAAAAATTCAAATGTCTTCCCGCCCAGGAAAGGGACCAGGTTTATATCGATTTTGGGGGAGCAAGGTAAAGAATAGATGAGTTAAATTTTATTGGCTAAGGAGTGGGCCGACAGCACAGGAGCATGGACTTGACTGATGTCTTTTCTGAGCGTGGCCCGGCCTCCTGGTCCCGTGCAGGCGGTGTGGCTCACTCCCCAGCATCACGTGCTCTTGCTTTTGTGAAGACAAGCTTAAAAGAGCTGCCCTCGCCTCCGCTGCTCCTTCTGATGGTGGCGACCATGGTGCCATAGCTGCACCTCTTGTGGCCCAAACTGGTCTTTTTCCAGACCCTGGGATACTTTGCAACTTCCTTTGCCGACAGAACATGGCAGACATGCTGTATGCCAGTTCTGACCTGAGGCCTCACCTGCTTCTGTTCTCCCTTGGAAAATGCAGCCACGTGGCCACGTCCGGGCGAGCCTGTTGGGGGATGAGCAGATGGAGCAGAAGCAAGTCAGCCCAGCAGTCCCCCAGAGGCAGGGGGTGACCTCACTGGCCCTCGTCTAAACACAAGTGCATGAGTGAGTCCTGCCCAGGTCACACACACGTGAGCAATATAATTCTTGTGGTTGCCGGTGAGGCTTTTACTGTTGTTACTATAGGGAGTAAAATTCTGCCACCCCAAAAGGTGTCTTTTCCCAAAGAGGTTTATTTCACGGGAGGGCTATGAGGGCCGAGTGGAGGTTCCCTTTTGCGAACGACATCTACATGTCTAAAGGGGATTCTTCTCCCTCAGGTGGCCTCCCTCACTGTCTGGGAGACCCAATCTGTGATCTCTTCTCCATGGGGAAGGCAGATCTAAATCTGCATAACAGCCTTACCCTTGGTGACTGAGCCCTGACCTCCCTAACTGACCTCAACTCTCTCCCCCCAAGCATCCTCTTGGCTGAGTTATTTAAGATGGAGTCTGAAGGCTTGCGGGCGAGGGGCTCAGTCTTATGGTCTCTCCCATGTATACAGAAGGTCTACGTGCTATTAAACTTATTTTTCACTTTTTCTCTGATTCTGTCTGATGCTTTTCCGACCATTTGCCTGCTTAGAAAATCACAGAGGGGTATAGTCTGCATTTTTTTTTTTTATAATATTCTTTTTTTTTTTTCAGATTTATTTATTATTTATACAAGCACTGGGTACAGTCAGAAGCGCGGGAGGGTGAGAGAATTCACCAGAGTCAGAGCGGGGAGCAGCAGCGGGCGGCAGAAGAGGTCTGCGCGCCATGCGGGACCCTCCTCTGGTGGCTGGGGAGCAGCCGGGGATTGAATCGGTGCTGCAGAGGCTGCGGGCAGCTTTGCAACCCAGCGCCCAACCGCTGCGCCACTGGGGAGGCTCCCTAGTCTGCATTTTTTAATGGAGGTTAAAAGATGCCCAGAACCACCAGGAGACTATGAATGAATTTTAAAAAGACATCAATAAAAAATAAGAAGGCAGTTTAGGAATAAAGAAGGAAAAATGGTTGTTTGTGCTGGCCCGGCTGAGTGCTGGCGTGAAGGTCGTGGAGGGCTTGGGGAGAAGGAAGATCCTGCGGTGACGGTTCCTCCTTGTCATTGAAACAGACGTCCCGTGTTCTCTAGCCCTGGGAATAATCAGCGACAGCACTAGGGCGGGTGGCATACCCAGCTAAGCACTGCAGTAAGTCGGCTTGACAGGGCTGGCGGCAGCGCCGGCCGGGTTGGTGGTGTTGGCTGCGTTGACTGTGTTGACGACAGTCAATGGAACCGGGGTGACGTACTGAAAGGCAAAGGGCATGAGGCATCATCTTCCTCTGTGGGAAACTGCAAAAATGACCACAGGTTCTTCTTCATCCTGGCCGCACGCCTGGGGCCTTGCTGCTCCTCGGGACACCGAGGCCGGCCGTAAAGCAAGCGGGGCCGGCCTTGGTTCATGAGAGGCAGCAGGGCCGCTGTCTGCATCGTCAGGCCGCCTGTCAACTGCCAGGCACCCCGGCTGAGACCGTCTGAGGTCCTCCAGCTACCGCGACTCCCGGGGGTCTGCAGGGGTCCACGGGGCCGGATCAGACCAGAGCTGCCCAGCAGACATGATCCCCAAGGGTCACAGAAGAGGCTACTGTTCAAGCCATGCCACCTGCGGCTGTGCGACGTGCACTCAAAGCTAGCTGCCACAGACACTGCTGACTAGACGGGGGTGGTGGGGTGAGGGCCGAGTCCAGCAGAGAGGAATCCGATTGGGCCGTGGAAATTACCAAGCAATGACAGACACAAAATAAAGTTTAAGCGGGAGCCTGGGGACACAAGGCCTCTCATTTGTGCTCAAGCGTCCCGAGTGCCCCGGGCAGCTCGTGTTTATTGCTACAAGCAGCCTTCCTACCCGCCCACAGTTGGTTACAGACAACGAAGCGTTCTTTTAGCATCTGGCCTTGCCCCGGCACACATTCCCCGCCACGGGTCTGCGCCATCAGGTCGTTCTGTTTCTTTTTCTAATCCAGTTTGTCCCCCAGACACAGCTTCACAGACACAAGAAAGAACATCCCCACGGGCCCGTCCTCCCACCCGAGCTGATCAGGTTTTCAGCCATGACCTTGGTGTTTTCCTTGTCTCAGCACCGCTGGCCTTAGGGGCCTCCGGCAGGTGATGGAATCTAGCTCACACATTGGCTCAGGACTGGGGGCAAGTGGAGGCTGGAGAAGCACAAGGAAACGGCCCCAGCAGGCTGGGGAGTGGGTACCCCGTGATGTAGTGGGGAGCACCTTGGCTTTGGAAAGACGACTTTTGGATTCGGCTAAGGAGTCCACAGGTAGGATCAGGGCTCTTATGAAAGACATTCTGGAGAGTTTCTCTATTCTCCTTTTGCCATGAGGCTGAAAGAAGACGACAGCAAGAGGCCCCTCGCCAGGATCGACCCCGCGGGCTCCCTGATCTAGGACTTCCAGCCTCCAGACTGTGAGAAAGATTTCTGGCTGTTTTTAAGCCACGCAGCCTGTGGTACGCTTGTTATAGCAGCCTGACCTGACAGACACTCCCTCAGGCCTAATTTCTCCCTGTGATCAGGTCACCCCCTGCCCTCCAGAGCATGCTCTGCTTCCCAACACTCACCAAATATTTATTCCAGCACACGGCCTGGCACCCCAAATGTGAGACCATACAGGCGAGGCAGAACTCCAGCAGGGCGAACGGGAGGAGACTACCTGAGAAAATCACCCCGTAGGGCTAGGGGCAGAGAGGAAAGGGAGACTTTCAGTCAGTCCAGGGACAGTACACCTGCCAGGCTCCCCCGAGCAAGTGCCCCGCCCTCACCCAGAAGGCCCAGGTTCTCTGCACCTGGCACCTGGGAGCTGGTGCCTTCTGTGCACACCACGCCAGCAACCAGCTGCCAGTGCTCGGGGCCTCTGCAGCCCCGGGAGCCCACTTTGCTGTTTGCACAACAGGCCTGAAGTCCCCAGAAATCAATGCCCCTGGACGGCAGCCCTCTCTTAAGGATGGTTTGGGCTCAGGGGATCAATACCTGGCTCCTCCCCCTTAGTTTTGGGGTGACTGAGCCTTGCTTTGCACCATCTTTCCAGTGAAGCCCCGGCGGCCCTGAGCGGTGATGACCTGATAACGCGCCCCTTCTCCTCCCCATCCATCACCGCCGGAGCTTCCTTCTGCTCCAACTTCTCATCTCACTCAGCTCTGGCCGGAACTCAGACAGAGACTCATCTCAGCGAGGACTCTGGCAAGGAGCTGGGTGTCTTGGCTGAGGCTCAGGGAAGGGGCACCAGCAAGACAGGGGCATCCGCCGGCTGTGCATGGCCCTTGGCTTTCTCAGCCCCACCACCTGCATCTGGCCTGGAGGCTGCTCAGAAGGCTGAACTCGGCCCCTCGGAGCTTCTGCTGAGACAGCCCTGGTGCTGGGCTGGCCTTGGCCCTGGCCAAGTCTGATTGGAGATCAGTGGGCTCCAGGCCTTGGTCCCACCCACCACGTGGTGGGCATGGGCACAGGGTTGTGTGCAACACCCCCAACACCTAACCCTCCACGCTCCTCTCTGCAACGGAGGGTGGATACTAGGTGCTGCAGCACCTTCATACTCCCTGGATCGACGGTGGCCCCAACTGTCATGACCACGTTTAGGACAGGCAGACATTGTGGCTGGACTCTGATCCACCCCACACAGGCATGTCCTTGCTGCCTCATGTCAAGAGCCCTCTCTGGGTTTGTGGGTGCTGCCATCTTCAGACACAAGGCTGCAGCAGCTGGGCCTACCTCAAGCGCCCCCTTCATGGACTGCCCACACCCCTGTACCCACCAGCCTTCTCTGGGGAGTGCTGAGAGCATCAGGTTTCAGGCAACTGTGGAACAAGTTACTGCTGACCTTGGGCTTCAGGCCCAGGCAGATGTGGACACTGGTCATGCCCCGCCCAGAGCCCGCTGCGCTGTCTGGCCTCTCTGGCTGACTCCTCACCACTTGCTTTGCAGAGCGCTGATTTTACCCCAAGGTGCTGGCCGGAAATCTGGGCCCCTGGTGCTCCTCAGAAGCAGTTAGCAGTCAGCAATTGAGGGGAGCTGGGGAAAAAGCACCCCAGCTCTCTTACCCAGGACAGGCTGTGACTCCAAGATGCATGGGCCTCACTGCCCTCCAGAGCCCCAGCGGCACTGAGCTCCAGAGGGGACTTATGGGGTGGCCTTAAGCCACCTTATAGGGAGGCTTCTGTTCCTTCTCCTTCCCACCCTGGGGTTTTCTGGGATAACTTTGGACTTGAATAATTTGTGCCTGAATTCTTGTCTCAGCATCTGCATCTGGGGGACCTCAAATAAGACAAGAGCCTACCACCAGCACCTCCTTTTATGCAATAGGTGGTCCCCTCTATGTACCTTTCCGGGGCAGGTGATCTGATGCATTGAGTGTAGCAGCTGCTGGCACCTGCTGCCTCTGAGCAGTAATAGGACAGGGGTGTGTGTGTTGGGGGGAGTAGGGAGGGCTTCAGCTGAGTCTCTGTCCTTGTCTGCAGAGGGGTCTGCCCTGCCTGCCTCAGAGGCCACAGGGTTTTGGGGATGGTTACATAGTTCTTGCACCTAGCGATTGTCATCCCGGGGTGGATTTCAGCTTAATTCCTTCCTGTTCTGGAACAACCTCTAAATCAAGCCCTTCTGGTCTTTTGGAAGTGAAGGGTCCCAGGCAGCCCGAATGCTCACCGGGTACTTGAACATATCTGTAAGCTGAATGCTGATGCCAGCCAGAGAGAAAATGGCGCTGACCACATTCATGCCGACACTGCCGTTGACCTGGTGAGGCCGAGGGAGAAGAAGCGGTGAAGCCGGGCAGGTGGGCCCTCTCGGGGAGTAGGAGAAATGGAGTCAGGGTGGGAAAGAGAGGGTCAGGCAGAGTGGAGAGGCTGGTTTGTTCCCAACAAGGGGACAAGATCACTCTTCATCGAGATGCAGATTTGTGTAGGGCAGCGGTTGCAATTAACTGGGAAAATACCCCAAGAATCAGCTGAGGAGCAGCAGAGGAGACTGGAAAGGTGGGGTGGAGGGAGACATAGGGAGGACGCCACAGTGCCCTGCAGAAGCGAGCAGAGATCTGGGGGAAACAGCAGCACATGTGTTGCTGACTGTTGAGACAGAGACAACAGTGCAGAGCTGCAGGGGAATTCTGAGCCCTGTGCCTGTGATCTGGACTCTAATATGTTAAAGGTGAACATTCCCCTCACTTTTTTCCAGGTCCAGCCAAAGGGAAGGACAGGAAATACCTTAAAGGAATGACTGAAATGGCTCAGGGCACCCCCTAGGTCATTGTGCTGTGAAAACTTGTGCATTTTCCAAACTGCTGTTTCTGAGTAAAATGCAACAGGGCAAAAGCAATCCCTGGAGTCAGCGAGCCCTGGCTTCCAGTCCCGGCTCTGCCACGTTCCCACTGTGTGATCTTAGGCAAGTCACCTGACCTCCCTGTGCCTCAGTTTCCTCCTCTGCAAAAGGAACATAATAGAACTACATAGATGCGTGGGGGCCAATGCGATAAAGGATGTAAAAGCTGAACCTAGAGCCAGGCCACCCCACTATGTGAGGCCTCTTTCTCGTGTTGGGTGGAGAGTTGAATTTTAATGCCCAGGCTGGGGAAAGACGGCAGTGAGACTCACCAGACAAGGGTCGGGGTCCGTTTCAGCACACACCGAGAGGGATCCAGATATAATAAACTATGCAGACGAGAAAGAGAGCGAGATGTTGCACCGTATGGCCCTGTGTTGTACCGCTGGCCGCTGTGGCCCTGTCTGTCTGTGAGCCTGCCCTGCTCTTGGACCTGTCCTCACCCTCCTGGCCCAGTAGGGCCTTGCGCTCTCTATGGGTGCCCGTGACGGTCTGTGCGTATGTCTCTGGCAACTGCCAGTGAGTATTATAATTACGACTCTGGCCCAAACAAGACCCCCCTTGGTCTTCTCGTCATCCTGGACCTCAGCTCTGCACGGGCTTTCAGCTGTCTCTGAGGTCCCTACGCCTTGTCGCATCCGTCTGCCTCCACATTTTCACTCCCCCAGTGCAGGGCCCACACCTTCTTTTCTGGAACACCTGAAATTTGCACCAGGGAGGAGGCCACGTGGCCTTGTACTCACGGATATGCCTCCCCAGACCGGGTACCCTGATATTGCAGTTATAGAATATCGGTAATACTCCCAAGGCTTGACTGCAGAGAAGATGTGGATCAGGCCGATGAGGATCTGCACGACCTGCAGGGAGGACAAGTCTCTGTGAGGGAGCAGAGCGGGCTCTGTACCCCAGAATCCCCGTGGTGGCACTGGTTTTGAGGCTTACCCCTCATCAACTGGATCCCCACTTTGGGGTGGGGACTTGCCTGGGTGCTTTGTAAAACTCCACAGGTGCTGCTCGTGTGCCCCGGGAGACAGTTTAGAGCAGAGGGGGAAACACCCGCCTTCTGCTGGGCCAGGCGTATTGAGAAGCAGCCTGGGCCGGACTCTGGCAGCAAACCACGAGGCTGGGAGCCGGCCCCGTGCTGGCCACTGTGGCCCTGTCTGTGAGCCTGTCCTGCTCTTGGACCTGTCCTCACCCTCATGGCCCAGTAGGGCCTTGTGCCCCCTGTGGGTGCCCGTGCCCGTGATGGTCTGCGCGTATCTCTCTGGCAACCGCCAGCACATATTATAATTACAACTCCGACCCAAACAAGACCCTCCTTGGTCTTCTCGGCATCCTGGACCTCAGCTCTGCACGGGCAGGTGCTGGCTGTGTTGACTGGGCAGGTGCCCAGGACTGGGCGCTGTTACCTGCCAGGCGCCACTTGGGGGGCTGGCTGGGTGTCCAGTGGGGTGCAGGACAGACCTGCTTTCTGCTTCATAAATGGAATCAAACTGAGCTTTGCAGGTTACCAGATGGAGCCAGAACCCCCTTGGTGGAAGAGGAAACCACAAAACATGAGAGGCAGTTTGAGGTGGCAGCGTGCTAGGCTTTCTCCTGAAGATGAGGAGATGGGGCCCAGGGAAGGGAGAGGGGGTGCCCGAGGACACCCAGCAAATGAATCACCCAGAAACTTGGACCGCCTGCCTTCCCAGCTGACAGCTGTCTCAGGGAAACTTCTGCTGATCTTTACCCCAGGAGCTGGAGAGGGGAGAGGCGTTATCACCTTTTACTACCTCTCCCGAAGACCACGCCTTGGGCGCCTCGGGCCGGGAGAGGGCAGGCGAGGGAGGGAGGGCGGGGCTGTTCTGGTCCAGCTCCAGAGACTGCCACCCTCCCTGCTTTTGTCCTTCGTCCTCTATCCCTTTGTAGGGTAAATGATTGTCAGGCTGCCCTGCCCTCCCGCCATTAGGATTGATGATGAATCCTGCAGCCTTGAACGCACGCCTGATGGCCGACACCTGGAGCGGGTGTGGGTCTACGGAAGTGGGCACACCCGGGCTGAGACTGGGCCTATAAGGGTGGCGTCACGGGGATGCCGGAGAAGAGCGGCAGAGAAAGAGGCCACGAGAGAAGGCCAGAGAGCCCAGAAACAGTGAAGACTTGCTGGGCGCTGGGAGGCTTGCCAGCCTCCCGGTCCCCCTGCACCCCCGCCTGACATGAACCTGGTCAGCTCAATAAAAGCCTGCAAAAGCCACTGGGGGCTCCAGGACTCTCCTCCTCTACCCCTCCACTCGGGTCACAGAAAACCTGCCCTGCGCCTTCCTGTCGCTACATCCTTCCTTGTCCATGTGGTGTAGAGGGGTGGGCTTATGCAGTGACCCCAAACAAGATGGCCCACTCACCCCTAGTGTTTTGGTCTCCATATTTATGAATTTCCTGGGATCAAATGTAAGAAGTGACCCAAATGCCGTGCCCTGTTGGGGCTGGCTGGAGGCGTGCATTGGAGGATTCTGTGGGCCCCCGGGCCGGGTCTGGAGATTTGTGGCTCCTGGGATGTGCTGATTCTGTATGACTCCCACTGGGCTCTGCACCCCCACGACTGGGGTCTGGAAGTTCACTCTTCCTGCATCATACTGCGTCACTCTTGAGTTTGAGTAAGCGGTCTCCCCCAAAGGCTGCCCATGGTTTCCAGAAGCTAGGGAGCTTCCAGACTGGATACCACGGACATTCTCTGGGGCAATACCACCAGGCATACCGTTGGTCCGAAGCTCCTGCTTGGCCATGGTGGACAATTCCTGCAAAACACGCAAGAAAGTGCATTTTCCCTCCTCTGATGAGGTGAATAATGCATCTTACCCCACTGTTCAGTTTCATCTTCATTAAATAAAAACCATGTAGCATGATAGACAAAACAAGCGGGAAAACTCCTGAAAAGTCAGGGAGCCCACGTTGTCTGACAAGGTCCAGGCATGAGGAAGATTTCTGAAAAGTCAGAAAACTCCATAGCTGGCTTCCTTTCATTTGTTTATGGCAGTTATTGAAACCATAGAAATTTTCTACAAGCTTTAGAATAACACAATGAGTGTTGGCGTTCACGCCAGTTTCGGTAATGCACCCCTCAGTGCTTTGAGAAATGTGCCTTCCAACATGATGGATCATGAAACGATTCCCAATAATTCTCCACGTCCTCCAATTTGTAATTCAGTTACCATGAGTAACACTGAGTTCTTTACAAGCCACGCTTGATAGAGCTGATGGAACTGAGCCCGGTAAAAGTCCCCACAAGAGAAGGCCCTGAGGAGCCCCGGGAGGCGAAACGGTCCGAGAAAAACACACCACATGTTCCCATGGTCCCGGGACCCTGTGGTTCTCTACAGAAAATAGGAAGCCGCCCTCGATCTTACAGGGCCTGCTTAATCTTTTAGCTTGACGGCATAAATCACATTGTGTGTGGCACCTGTTTCTATTTTCTGAATAACATGCATCACCTAGGGAAATAATGGAACCAAGTTAATGTAACCAAGTAACCAAGTGAATCATAGACTGGGAAAATTAAGAAAGGGCTGTGCACTGTTAATGATCATAATAATTTCTGAAACAATGTAAAAATAAAATCAATCATGATTGCATGATGGAATGATCAAATAAAAAATTTCTGATGTATAAATAAATTTTATACATCGGCAGGAGATACTTGCACCTCACCAAGTGTCTGTGTCTCCTCATTTCCCGATACCCTTCCCCCCTCACATTCATCTACACTGTCTCGTCCTGCAGGAACCCTCACACGACCTTTTGCCAGGTCTGGCCTCCGGCACTTGCCCATGCTACCGTTGGGGTGGGGATCGTGTAGAAATTTTGCTGATTTATTATATTTTTTTCTGTGTTAAAATCATTATGGCCCAGGGTACCAGAGATTATTGTAGCTAGATCCCCTCCAATTTGCAACAAGAAACCTGGGGAATAAATTTTACATGCCCTCTTTAGTGTGAGCTGTTAACTCACTCCTTACAATTAACCCTTAACTTCCTCCAACTGCTTTTCTGGAAGTTTTGGAAAAACTGACTACATTTTAACCCTAATAATTCTGTTTTTCTCTGAGTTGATAGTGACAGCAGAAACAAACATCTTCTGGTTGCGGAGAAAATTCCCTGCTGGGAAGGTCCAACACCCGGAATGTCCCGCACCTCCTCCGACCTGGAAATACAAAGCTTCAAACGCCCATCCTATAAAATCACAGCAATCCCACCACTGGGGGTTGGGGGTGGGGGTGGGGGTGGGGGGTGGTAGGGGGGGGTGTAGGCAGCGTTATTAGGGCGCTAACCCAATTGCCCTTGACAGTCATCTTGAATTTGTGTTTGTAAAGCCGGTCTGGTGACTCAGAGTTGGGCTTTCTGGGAGGGAGTGAAAGCCCCGGTTTGGTCACTTACACTGGGAGAGTGGCCTTTGTGACGAGCAGATCCTGAGACTGCAGAAGGTTGAGTCGGGGATCACCTGGAATGAGACATGGGAGAGGGTCCTCATTTGATCTCTGATAAGCTGAGAGAGACCCGGAGAATTTCTCAACTCTCCCACGGAGGAGCAAATGTATAATGGGAGTAGGCAGGCCCACAGCCTCCTGGGGACCCCAAGGTCTCGGAGGGTGGGATGACCCGGAGCGAGCGGGCTGTGGTGGCTGCCTGTCTTGTCTCCACTTAAATTTTACATGCTCCTTACATACCTTAGGGCCCCTAATGAGAAAAACATTCCAACTGTCAACTTGGGTTTGGTGCTGGCCGATTGACTGGCACTATTTAATATTAATCAGCTGAAAAATTAACTTAAAAGCAAGAGACAGCCCCAGGGCTAAGAGCTCAGACAGCCCCGGTCCCTTTCCTAGTTCCCTCATTCACTAGTTACTAGACCTTGAGCAAATTGCACAAGCTCTGTAGGTCTCAATTTCCTTATCAAAAGGTAAATAATAATGGCACCTTCTCGAAGGGTGTTATGGAGATTAAGTGAGTAAGCTTCTGGCACAGAGCCTAGGATAGAAGAACTGAAACCATCTGTCTCTGAGAGAAAGGGGCCATTGTTTTGAATGTCTAGCCTCACAGATCTCAAACAACTGATACTGTTTCCATTTTGTAGGGGCCGGATGTCACAGGGCGGGTTCTTTATGACCCGAGCAAAGGAGAGAGTCCTGGAGCCCTCAGCGGCTTTAGCAGGCTTTTATTGGGATTTACCAGGCACACAGCAGGCACACTCTGAGCTCTCTGCTCTCTTGTGGCCCCTGCTTCTCTCTCTTGTTCTCTGCTGGTGGTTCTGCTGTTCCCTTCTCTTCTCTTTCTCTGGTTCTGTTCCTCTGGCGTCCTGGCCTTATATGCCCAGCCACTCTGCTCAGGCACGCCCACCTACGCGCCCACGCCCTACTCCAGGTGTCCACCATCAGGTGTGCATTCAATCTAATGGCGGGAGGGTGGAAAAGCCTGATACTTTTTTCTTACCCTACACATTTGGACTCAATGGCAGCGGATCTCAAAGAGAGATGTCTGGATCAGCAGTATCAGCACTAATGGGGTCTCATTAGATTTCATGGCACAACAGACCTCTCCTGTCTCCCCTGCTGCCCCCCTCTGCAGTGCATTTCAGTCAATTTGCCTGTTCTGCTCCCAACTCTCTGCGGTGAATCCTCTCACCCCTCGCACCTCTGGCTTACACCACAGTTCTTGTATGCATAAATAAATAAATTTAAAAAAAAATGGGAACTCTTGGCCTCCTTCCAGACCTACTTAATCTAAACCCAGGGGAGGGTGCAGTAATTTGTGTCTTACAGACCTTCCCAGGTGGCTCTACTACCACACAGAAAGGCCCCCCACTTCTCTTGGTGGTTTCATGCCCCTTCCCTTCAACGTTGGCAGTTAAAAATACTGGCTGTAGAGAACTTGAGCTAAGGCCTAGGTTTTTCCTTATTTTAAGCTCAGTGGCTTCTAAGTGTTCTTCCAACTCTTCCATAAGGATAATTATTGGTCTGTCCCCTTGAATTTTGGTGGTTCTTTCCTGCTTCTGCTTATCCTGCAAGTATAGCGGGGCTTGCAAGAGTGAAACAGTAGGACAAAAATACCCTCCCCTAATTAAATGTGGAGAAAACCAGACTTTTCATGAGTTGGCCAAGCTGTATTTCAGAGTGCAGGCCCTGAAGCGTGTTCACTGTTCTCAAGGACACGCTCACCATCTGAACTGAAAATAGCCATGGAAAATGGACCAAAAATGCCCGGATCATGGTTAAATGATAGTATGCAGAATCGGGGGGTACTCAGCTTTGTTGCAGTTCTGAACCCAATTGTGAGTTGCTATGATTTAGCAGAGTGAAGCTGCCAGACTCTACCCACTTGCATTTTATTTTTATTACTTTTTTAAAGATTTATTTATGCATACAAGAACTGGGGTACAGGTCAGAGGTGCGGGGGAATGAGAGGATTCACTAGGGACAGAGTGGGGAGCAGAACAGGCAAACTGACAGAAATACACTACTGAGGGGAGCAGCGGGCGAGGCAGGAGAGGTCTGCTGCACCATGTGGGTAGCTCACTAGTTGGCTGGCTGGGATTGAACTTGTGCTACAGAGGTTGCACATAGCTTCACAGTGCTGTGCTTAACCCTTTGTGCCACCAGGGAGGCCCCCACTTGCATTTTAATACTTTCTTTGTCCCTAAATCCCTTAAATACCAAAGCTTCATCCTTGGGGAGCCAGATTTGGGCCATGCCTCCCTCCAGTCTCCTGCCATGTGTGTGAGCTTGCAATAAACTCTTCCTTTCTTGAAAGCTGGGGCTTGGCTGGTAGCTCCCGTGTCAGCAGACAGTGGGCCTGCGTTCAGCTACAACCCAACAGCTCAGGCACTGGCCCTCCCCGAGGGAAACTGAGGCTCTGAAGTTAGAACGACTCACCTGTGTTTACCTGACTGATAAGAGTGGTTCTAGGATTCAAATTAATTTTTTTTAAAGATTTATTTATGCACACAAGAACTGGGGTCCAGGCCAGAGGTACAAGGGTGGGGTGGTGGTAAGAGGATTCACCAGAGACAGAGCAGGGAACAGAACAGGCAGACCGACAAAACACACTGCTGAGGGGAGCAGCAGGCGAGTCAGGGGAGGTCTGCCGTGCCATGTGGGCAGCTTGGGATCGAACTCATGCTGGCTAGGGATCGAACTCATTCTGCAATGGCTGCTGACAGCTCCATAGGCTCGTCTCAACCCCTTGCACCGCCAGGGAGGCCCTCAAATTAGTTTTTTTTTTTTTTTTTACGTTTATCTTCATTTCACCGTGTTTTCGCTTCCTGAAGGGCACACTCTGGCACAGACGGCTGAGTCCTACAGTGGCCACTCCTCAGACCCCTTCAGTGTCACTTCCCAGCAGGAGCAGAGGGAGGCAGTTCTGTCTGAGGACTCTCTACCAGTTCTAGATCTAAATAAACCTAATCACAGTGCACACATGCTGCTGGACTCAGGAGGGGGCGAGCCAGCAGCCTGCAGGCTCCGCAGCCTTCTAGCTACAGATCATTGTGTCCATGAAGAGCTAGAAAGTAGTTTTAAGAACTTGTTCTGACTCTTGGTTGCCTGCCAGAAGTCCAGCTCTGCAGTGCCAAGGTTAGGTTGCTGTTCTGTGTCTTGCTGGAGTGCACTAGTTTCAAAAGCTTTTATAAAAAAGCAATATGTGAACCCTGACTTTTTTGTAGTTCCCCAGAGACAGTTCCCAGGGCCAGGTGAGGCCCATGTCTCTCCTGGTATGATACAGTCTCCAGCAGAGTCTGGAGAGAATTCGCAGAAGTCTTACCTTGTATTTGTGGCGTGCCTTTGGCTGTTCCTTCTTCAGACTCTGTGGACCTCTGCAGTCTGGTCTAGAAATTCCTGGTGAAGGAAGAAAAATTAGGTTTCTCTTTGAAGCTCCAAAGTCCTCTTTTCAGTTTCATTTTGATTCAAAGGAATTCATTCTCCGGCTTCCACTTTGGGTTGATTTGTCCCTTGGATTATTTATAGCTTTCCAAAGTTTTCCTTTGAGGGATTGCTAAATCTAGAAGTGGGCTGTTAGGATAAGTCAATAGATTACCCATAGTAATCCATTAACAGAATTTTATTGGCCGTCTGCCATGTGACAGGTGGTATGCCTCCATTCTGAAATATAAAGATCTCTGGAAATTCAAAAGAATAAGCAAGAGAGAATAATAGAACCATTGTTTTACAATCACAGTACAAGTTAGGACTACGGAAAACAATAGCCAGATTGTCAGTTGTTGGGAAGAAGTTGCTGGACTGGTCTGTGGAGTCGGTCCCCTTGTTGAGTAGCTGGACATTGAATGGAACTCCCAACTTAGGTTGGACATTGACAGGAGAGTGGAATTAAAACTGCACAAAAGGGGCCTCCCTGGTGGCACAAGGAGTTAAGACGCAACCTATGGAGCTATCTGCAGCCACTGCAGCACGAGTTTGATCCCTGGCCAGGGAGCTACCCACATGGTGCAGCAGACCTCTCCTGACTCACCCGCTGCTCCCCTCAGCAGTGTATTTCAGTCGATCCGCCTGTTCTGTTCCCCACTCTGGTGAATCCTCTCTGGTGAATCTTCTCTGGTGAATCCTCTCTGGTGAATCCCCCACACCTCTGACGTGTATCCTAGTTCTTGTATGCATAAATAAATAAATCTTTAAAAAAATTTTTTAAAAAAGCTGCACAAAAGTCACATGGCATTCCAGAAGTGTGAGCAGAGGTATGGGTACCTACTGGAGAATGGTAGGTTGTGCCACCACGGTATGCCTCTTTGGCATAAGTATTATTATTTGGAGAATAGCAGACACGGAAAAATCTTTGGAAACAGAGTAAGTTACCCTTTAGTAAGGGAAATTTACATTTATGCAGGAAATCCATTGGTGAGGACACCTCCCATTCTGTACTAGGAAGGGAAAGATGATTAAATTTAAAAATCTCATCAATGGAAAAGGCACTACAAAAGGGGTAGTAAAGTAGTTCAGCTCTCTTTCTGTAGCACAGAAACTCAGGTGTCTTTTAAATAGTCAGCTCTTTTAGGTCATTCCAGTTATTCAAAAATGTTTTTTCTTTTTTTCTTTTTTTAAAGATTTTTTTATTTATGCATACAAGAGCTGGGGTACAGGCCAGAGGTGTGGGGGGTGAGAGGATTCCCCAGAGCCAGAGCGGGGAACAGAACAGGCAGACTGATGAAATACACTGCTGAGGGGAGCAGCAGGTGAGACAGGAGAGGTCAGCTGCACCATGTGGGTTGCTCCCACAGGACCAGCAGGGGATCGAACTCATGTTGCAGAGGCTGTGGATTGCTTCATAATGCAGTGCTTAAACCCTTGCGCCACCAGGGAGGCCCTCAAAAATGTTTTTCATACATCTTTTCAGGACCGATTCAACACGCTGTTGACTGCCAAGCCCCTTTGGTAAATGGTCCAGGCAGCAAAAATCCCTGGAGTCATCAAAGATGACTTTTCTTGCAAGATAAGCAGGAATAGGAAAGGTCCATCGCACCACCACGTTTTCAATACCACTAGCTTTGCTGGCTTTCCAGCTTACAGAGGGCAGCCTATGTAATCCTATGAGCTGCTGTGAGTCAATTACCAAGGTAAATCTCCTCTCTCATATCTATAACCAATTGGTTCCATTTCTCTGGAGAACCTTGGCTAATACAGAAAATAGGTGCTGAGAAGTAGGGGCACCATTGTAACAAATACATAAAAATGTGGATGGTTAATTTTATGTGTCTAGGTAGTGGGTAGAGGCTAGGAGAGTTCTGAGGTGTGTTGGACAGAATTTTCCCTATTCCTCTCAGTCTTTTTGGTTGGCCTGATAATGAAATGCACTCTAGGCAGATTAACAGATCAACCAATTTAACTTTGTATGTACAGAAATGCCATCTGAATACGGGACCTGTAAGATGAACACAGCATCATGCATATATAAATCTGAGACAAATAGACAATACATTTGTGAGGAATTGACAGGATGAAGACATTTTTGACATTTTTGATTTGGACACTAATTTAGTGAGGAGCTAAGTTTATTTACATAGGCCAAAAAGGCTTGGAATCCCTTACCTGGTAACAAGGATGTCTTCTTCCCTCTTCATACATGAGAGTGCCTGTCCCAAGGGAGATTTATTTCCTGCCTTCGGTGAGACAGAAGGGGTCAGAGTAGAATTCCTGCTTTGTCTGTTTCTCAAGCACTTTAATTCACAGTACTCAACATGCCACTTTGGCATGTTTTGGGGAGGAACGCTCTGAGCCTCAACAGGCACATTCTAGAAAAAGGCCACCTTGCTGTAAAGAGGCTGGAAGCATGAGCAGCCCACTGGAGTAGTCTGTGCATGTTTAACAGAAGAATGGTGAGGAGCAAATTCCAAGTCAGTGAAAGATGCCCCAAATGAAATCCACCCCCACATCCAAGCTGAGGAACTCACAGGTACCCTGCGCTGTTAACTCCCAGTGTGCCAGGGGCCAGATTTCCTGAGCCAGGGAGCTGCTGGGAACTAGGGGGCAGAGTTGAGTGGCTAGGTGGAGCTTTAATATCCTAAAGGTGGTGGCCTCACCGCCTAGTTTTGGGGCTCCAACTTGTACCTGGTACTGCTGGCAGGACAGTGCTGGCATTACAGGATGAGTTGGTTCAAGAGTGTGGGTCTTGGAGGCAAGGGACATGGATTCAAACCCAGCTCCACCAATAGTGTGGAGTAGGGCAAATTACTTAACCTTTCTGAGGCCCAGATTTTCAGATTTCTTGTTCTTAAAAACATAGCTAGTGCTATTTTGTATAGTTTTGAATGTGAAAGGAGAGAGAATGCAGGTGAAAGGCATTGAACAGATTAATGGTAGATATTAAGGCTCCATAAATGTTTCCTTCCTTCTTTTTTCAGAACACTGATTTTGTTCAGCAGGCATTAAGCGGGCAGCTACATCCCTGTGCAGTGCTCAGGCCTGAGGGTGGGGATATTCTTGGATTTCAGGGGAACTGGCAGACTTTGCACTGGTCCAGGGGTTAGTCCTTCAGGGAATTTTATGGCACCTTACCTTGGCCAAGACTGATTTCCCTGCTTATGTCTTCCTCACCTCTGTATCTGTTCAGCCTCTTTCTGTCAACTCCTGGTTGCTGATTAACTTTATGTGACATAAAAAGTACACTTGACAGTGGTCTCATCTGGGTGGGATATGGGAAGAAGAGTTGACCGAAGGGAAGGTTTGAGGGACTTGGATCTACCAGAGGCTTTGGCAAGAAATGGATGGGCTGGGACAGAGTCTTACCCAACACGCTGCTCAAATCTAAGGGAGGGGAAAGTCAACGTTTAATCTTCCAGGTGATAACTTGGGGAGTGTTCTATCTGGATGTCTGCTTAATGAGTTAGCATTCTTTGGAAGAGCTTCTGAGTAGGGCTGTCTACATGTGGCATGGGCTGCTTTTGGAGACACCATTTATACATACCACCATTTGAGCTGATGTTTGAAATTAAAAGCAGTAACAATCATTAGAGAAAATACCATTGAGCAGAGGTTCTTAAACTTGAGAGAGCATCAGAACGACCTGGAACACTTGTTAAAAACCAGGTGGCTGGGCCTCCCCCGTGGCGCAGCAGGTTGAGCGCCATGCTGAGTGCCGTGCTGTGAAGCGACGCAGCCTCTGCAGCGTGGGTTCGATTCCCAACAGGCCAGGGAGATTTATGCTCACATCCCCACACAGGAGAAAAAAAATCATATCTATCACTATCTATCAATTTAAAATTCTATTACTGAAATGGGGGAAAAGAAATATTGAGGTGGAATTAATTAGAATATATTTCCAAGAAGCCTCTTAGAGAAGTGCCTCATTCACCTCTACACTTTCTTGACGGCGGTGATGATGGTGCTTGCGTTTCTGTCAGGTAGCTGAGGGGAGCTGGGGTATGAGCACACTCTAAAGTAAAGAACTCTAAGATTTTGGGGCGAATTTTGGGAAAACGCCAATAGAAATATTCTCGGGGAGATTTTCAAATTAGCGATTTGTTTCTGATGCTCTTTCGTTCGCTCGCGTCCTCCCTGCCTGCGGCGGGGCTCCCCTGGAAGGCCCGGGGGGCTCTGCACACACAGCCGCGCGCGCACCACACGCAGGGACACGCTTTTCGGCTCCAGCTGAAGACGAGCTCGCGTTCACTGAGCACCACGTTCACTTTAATCGGGTTACACTGACGAGGCGGAGAGCGGAGCCCGTCCCCGGGGTGCGGATCGTGCGCTGCTGAGGGACAGCACAGACGCCTGACCGCGGCCGAGCGAGGCGAGGGCTGAAGTCCTGCGGGGGGACCAGGGGGGCGCGGGGGGCACCGGGGGGAGTGGGGGAGGCCGTCGGTCCCTGCAAGCACACGGGGCACGGTGAGAAGGGGCGCCCCCCCCACCCCAACTCCCGGCCTGTCCGGCTGGGGCTTTCCAGTTTCCACCTTGTTCAGAGAATAACGAGGGCCAGGAATGTTTGAAGACGGGATCTGTCAGCATCTCCTTCCTTCTCTTCTCTCAACTCTCCTTTTCCTTTTTCTGATGCAAGACCCTCGGGTCTCAGCCATTCTGGGTCTTTCCTGCGACCCCCACACCCCCGTGTCTGGTCTGGGTTACGGCCAGGCTGCTCTCCTCCTCACGGTGACTCTGGCTGCTCCTGAGTTGTCCTCCTGACGGCACTGATGCTGAAGAGCCGCCCCCGGGTGCAGGCCTGGGGAGGAAAGGGAAGCGGGTCTGTCACCCAAGTTCTCTGCGTCAGCGATACCAACACTGAGAATGAGAAAGTGAAACAGGAGGTCAAGAGCATTTTCTTTGAAACTGTCTTCCACCTTCCTCCACACCTACTTCTCCTCATGTCTAGTGGTAAACTATCTCCAACTGATGCCAACGGCCTCCCCGAAGGGTTTTTGTTGTTGAAAGAAATGAGAACTGAGCAACTGAGGACAAAGAAACTGAAAGAGAAGGTCAAGAACATTTCCACTGAAACTATCTTCTCTTTCCTCCACACCTACTTCTCCTCATGTCTAACGGTAAACTATCTCCGACTGGCGGCTAACAGCCTCCACAAAGGGTTTTTGTTGTTGTTTCCAGGGGAACAGCTATTGAATTAAACAGACCTGAGCCAGAAAAATCATTGACCTTCTACCTTCTTCTCTCATGAGGGAGTAAATATAAAAATGTCTTATAACACACAACGCCTCTGTCTAGGGCACGGTAGTTAGGAAGGGTCTTTTTCGATACCGCTAGTCACATTTCTTTCTTCCCTTCTTATTTTTTATTGAATACCATTATTTTACATTCTTGACAGTTTTTTCACAATAAAGAATTTCTCCCCTCATGTGGGGTCACCGTAGATCACCCATCACCAAATCGCCCTCTAATCGCAATTTAGAGATGACACTATTTACGCTTAACTCCTAGTAGAAATTTAGGTCTTCAAACAAGGTTCGTAAGAGAAACCAGTATCCTCGGACTCACCAAGCGGGAGATGAGATACTCACCGCATCTTTAGTACATTGCCTTTTTTGCACGGTAGCCCCAATAAAGCACTGTGCTTGCCGCAAACAACTCCAAGAAGGTGAATAAGAGCAAATATTCTGAAAGCATTTTGCCACTTTTCTATTTCCAAAAAAGAAGAAATACATTCCTTACTGACTTTCATATATGAACACCTCAAAAATAATAAAAGTATCATAAAATTGTAGGAAGAAGATGAAAAATAGAAGAATAAACAACTCAACTCCTATCCCCCCTCAGCAACGATGGGCATATATATCACATTTGCTAACTTAGGGTGATTATTATTTTTTTACAGCCTATTTATTTTATTTATCTTAAACATTCTAGTTTAACTGAAAACATTTTAGTTTATTAATTTTCTTATACCATTGTTAATTTTTAGACAGTATTTGATTCCTCCCCTCAGGTGCAGTCCCCATAATACTACAATCTATTTTATTTTATTTTATATATTTTTTACATAATTTTTCATTTTTGCACAATGTATGCATTTTCATCTTGGTTATAGTCCCCATACAATTGCCACCACCCTTGTTTTGATCCTACTCCCATCTCCCCTCCTTGTAGTGTGCCTCTGGTTTATAGTTGCTTGTTGATTTTGATTTTTACTTTACTATCATTTGTCTTTCTCCTGGTCCCTTATTTAGGTTTTCTAAATTCCTGCTATAAGTGAGACCATCCGGTATTTTTCTTTTTTTTTTTTTTTCTGGCTTATTTCACTGAGCATGATCTTAGGGTGATTATTAACTGACAAATTTCTGCCAGATGACTGAGAACTATTGCCTATGTTTTCCTCTTTGTTGGAGTCAACACATTACCCTTGAGTTTGATGAACCTCTGGAGAAGATGGAGTTGAGACACCCTTGAGGTGAGATGCTCAGAATTAGGCTGTTGTCAGGAAAGGGTCCTACAGAGGACCTTACAGTGAAGGAAGAGGAGGCGTGGATTGCGCCCTAGGTTCCACATGAGGCCTATATCTTCTAGAGTTTGGTGGTTTCTTCTCGGGATCGCACCTCTAACTATAAACCCTGATGGACCCAAATCCTCAAGGGTAGCTGGATTGGGAACAGGAACATGAACTCTAAGATACTGGAAACCCAAGCCTCAAGGACCCCAAGCACTTTTGTGACCAGGCACCAAGGGCCAGATGGATCAGTTTTCAGTACTGGCACCATCCGATAGCAACAGAAGTCAAGACATCAGAAATTGTGGGCATGTAGGTGGCCTGCCGAGATGCTCTAGGATTCCATCAGCAGAGGTTTGGAGTCAACACTGAGCCTTTGGTTCCCATTTTTCTTGAATAACTTGAGAGGGTCCATAAGGAAGGGGCTTCCAGAAGATGATATTGGAATTCTTAACTAATGTGAGCACTGGTGGTTCAAGAGATTAAAAGGGAAAATGAAAGAGTAAAGACTGCAAGTGTACCCTGATCCAGTAAAGTGAGAAATTCTTATGCAAACATAATCTTAAGCAATATCTGCAAGTTTGTATTTACTTAAGATTTTAGTGTAAGGCAGTCTTCCAGGTATGTGTCATAAAATATCAGCATGCCCTACAGCAGTGAGGTAGTTCTCTCTGATAGGCCATTTAATTGATTTCTGTTAGGGTTCAGTTTTGTGTGGTGGAGGAACTTGAAACTTAGGTCATTTTCAATTGGAAGAAAGGTTTTGCAATAAATAACCCTGTGACCCAGAGCAAGCAGCTGAACATTTCTAAACTTGTTTCTCTTATTGAACCTGATACATGAATCATTCTCTGAGGACCTTTGCAATCCCATTGCTACAAAATCATTCTCAAACCTCCACAGACACAAGAAAAATTCAGCAAAATGCAAAGCAACAATGCTTTGGGACTACTAGCTAATTAATCAAGAGTCTGGGGTGTTGAAATAAGGAGAGCTTGCTTACTTGAGTTAGGAATGAAGAAACATGCAATATACAATGGAGTCAACCCAGAAAAATTGGTTTTTAGGTTTTGGTCAAAGGTCCAGCCCTTTTGACTTCCATCAAGCCGTGGGCAGGTGAGATTGGATAAAAGGACAGGATTCCACCAAGAAGGCTTTGGGACTTATGGCTTCAATTCCCACCTAACTTGCTTAGCACTGACCCCCAGCT